TTGGCAGGAAAGGCGGTGGACAAGCCGCGGAATTGCGTTTGCCGGCACATGTAGTTGTTACTGTTGCCCAGGACACCGTGTTTATTAATGAGCTGGTGCAGCGGTCCATCTGCCACATGCAGCCGAGCCGTCGTCCTCTTTGGACGCTCCAACGCCTACATCAAGCCATGTCCTTATCCGTCCGTATTTAAATCAGTGGCCCGGGATAATCACAATCAAAATGTATGCAAATTGAGAATGGGTGGGGGGGATTGGGGATTGCCCGGCCCGCTTGAAACCATCCAATTTAACAGATTTTTCCCCGCCTGCACGTCGTTGATGAAGTGCCAGGGTGGCAAGGATCCTTCCTGCGACTATCTTATCCATGTGCGCGGCATGTATGGAAATTAATTAACGGCAGTTGAGCTGGATGGAAAATTAATTGAGGCAACTTAATGGGTGGCAATCGCAGTAAAATACCTTTGGGATACGGGGTGCAGTTAAAATCGAAGAAGGCGGCGACTTCTGCGGAATAAATTATGCTAAACCATGGTCACTAGCCTTCACCTTCTTCGCGGAACAGCACCTCATTATCACTGGCCCTGGTGTTTGGGGTTCCCTTGCCAACTGCACAAACACGGATAAACTTTTGCGGGCGCCAAGAGCTGGGGATCCGTTGTTATTGCTGCCTTTCTGTTTGCCTTTCGACTGCACTTTAAGCACCGAAGTTCGTTAATGCGCGTACGTGAGCGCCGTTCAGATTCCCCGGAAAAACGGGCCCATCAACTGCCACACCATCTCGATCCTACACTGATAAAAAATATTAAGAAATGAAATGGATCTAATGAAAATCTGTATTTTATATGTCTATCACCCTCAATGCCCTAACCACTTTATTATGTTCGAAAAGAGCATTTACCAAAAACATTACATTTTTCATTATCAATTAACATTACCAGTGGTAAAATGATACTTAATAAATATGAAAATACCATACCAAATACATTTTTCAATACTTATTTAACCATATTAATGATACCCAGTATATTTACCATATTGATCTCAATTTTTGTTCTGTGTTCCTTACAAAGTTCGCGGGCAGGTAAAGCAAACAAACAAACCTGGGTGTCTGTTTCCATTTGCCTTCCTCCGAGGCAAATGTCGGGAATCTTGTAATAGAAAATGCAGCACAAACACACGATTCAAATTTCACACACAGCTCATTATTAATGTGGGAACTTCGATGTGCCCCGTTCAGTCAACTTACGTAACATTCGGTATTGTTGCTCCAGCTAATGATGGCAAGGAAAATACGAGGAGAAAAGCTCCTCCGGGGCAGCATTAATAAATTCCGCACGTACTGAGCCCTCCATATAAATCTGTTTCAAGCATATCCTTGAAAATTGCAATTGCAAAGCAGCCGTTGCCGCAGTGGTGCGAAAAAGAGGAACAACGGAACAGGACAGGCAAAAAGTATAAAAAACTAGGGGGAGATGGTAAGGCCTGAGGGTCTTGGTGGTTTTTTGTTGAGCGGGTGGTGGATTGGAGTTAGCTAAAGCCAGCACAAATACCCACATTCCAGGCAGCCAAGAAACAAAAAGCGAACTTTGCATAGGCTTCCAGGCGACGACGAGGATGTCGACGAAGACGAAGAGGAGCACCCCCGAAACGAGTGTCGAATGTCCCTTTGGGGACCTGCCCCACGCAAACAACTTTTATAAGGCTTAGGCTTCCCCTGGATAAGGTGGCATCAGCAGCAGCAGCAGCGGATAAAATGGCCCTCGCAGGGGCAATGTTTTCGTGCTCGCAACTGCAACAGTTTGTGGCCCCCTTCCAGCGCCTGCGCATTCCCCAGCCTTTCCATTCCCGCTTTTCCGAACAGCAACAGGCTGAACGGAGCAACAACAAGTTCCTATTGCCGAGGGGGCGGCGCAATCAAAATTGCAATGCGGGCCGTGCATTTTTATGGGCCAGACAAAGCCCATCAACCCATCAGACCATCAACCCATCTGCAAGCTATCCACTCATTGTCCCTCCTCCAAAGCCCTTTCCTGGGATTCCCGACCGGAGAGTAACTCACTGCTGGATCAACTTGACACACTCGGACAAAAAAGCATAACAACGTGGGTTTTATGTAACCACCTTACCTTTTTTGTTACCTCGAGGTAATTTGATGTATTCAGGTATTTAAAATTATACCACACGGTTGCATTCGCATAAACCCTAAAAGGTTTGTGGGGTATTTTATTTTAAAAATGTAAAACTCTTCCAGTTTAAGATTTTCTGTTTACCTGGATGTTTGCTTTAAATTTCCTTACAGAATACTTAAGAATGTTTTGATTCTGATATATTTATTAGGTCATGGATAAGGTCTATTTTCGCATTAGTAAAAAATTAAAATGAACAAAATAAAAGACGTCAATATCCAAACTGCAGATTTTTTAATAATATATAATATTTTATCCATCTTATATTTATTTAATATATTTAAATATAAAAATTCCAATTTAAGTTTCTGGATTAGGTTTCTCTTTGATTGATATTCACAGAATCCCTAGGAGCTTAACTTCGAATAAAATATGAAAGCCATTTACAATGCTCAAGGAATTGCTTTGGCATCTAAAAACGATTTATGTTTTGCAAGATTAGAAGCCTAAAAGAGCTTTTTGGATTGCCAAACTTTTTAATCGATGGTCCGATTTAAAATGAATTTTTTCTGTGTGCAACTCTGGGGGCTTAAGGATTATATTATCGCTCTCTGCGGATATTTTATTGTCCGTGGAGGCTGCATTCTCACCGATTGCTGCTGATAAAGTGCTTGATAAATGAATCAGGCAACTTAAGAGCTGGGCGCTAAGCAAACGCAACTAAACTTTCGAATGAAATGGGATATTATGCAGCGGCACAGACTGTCCTTCTCCGGCGTCTTGGCTCCAAGGCAGGAGCTGCTCCTCCGGATTGGCTGGCCCGGAATCCCAGACCCGCTTGCCAGCTGCTGTGCTTATTTAAAATTTATGAAAACGCATCATCTGCACAGCACGTTCCATTATTTGCCAGATAACTCAGCTACGGGCGGCGGCAAATAGCTCGCCGAGCACGCGTCCAAGGACCCAGGACCAAAAAGCAAGGACCTCCCTCTTGGCACCTGCCCACACGAGCTTACCTGCTGTATGTAGCATATGTGCGGGGCTGTATAAACAAACAGTGGACATTTTTCAAGAGGTTTCGACGACCATCTTTGCAGGATTTATGTGTGTAATGTGAAAAATTTCCAGCAGCAAACGCTGTAAATTTATGTGGCACCCAGTCGGCAGTGTGTGTGTGTCCAAGGATATTTGTGTTTAACCAAGCATAATCCTATTAAATGTGACAGGGGACGACAATTGGCTGGATTTTTGGCCAGGACAGCGATGTGGATGCTGCTACTGCATTGCCGGACCACTGGAGTGTATTAAAATATGACAAACTGTTTTTGTTTTCCGTCCCTCGACAACAACGTGGGTGCTGGGTTGGGTTGTTTGGCTGTTTGTGGCTGCCACCACCCACGAAGATGAGATTTTGATTAATGCGCATTGCTGGCGGGGCTGCTGCTATGATGTTGCATCTGCATTAGTGGATTCCGAGCTGCACTTGAAGGCTGGAAGGCTGGCCAGTGAAATGCAAATGCAAATGGATGCATCCTGGCCAGGAGAGCGTGAAAAAGGCGGCGGGCGGTCAAGGGCGCCGCATTCATTTGTCTTCTTCAGGCGCAACAGCAGCAGAAACAGCAGCAGCAACATTGCACATGCACTTGCAACATGCAACATCTACGTCAGCAGGGCTTAATTCAATTGGTGGGCATGAAATATTTAAGATGCTGACGCAAGTGCATACCGATGTAAGTATCCATCTCATATGCTGCGCACTCTAAATCGTATTATGCACACTGCAGCAAACAGGGAAACGTGAGATCCCAACGATTCCGGTGGAAAGTTCTGCGTACTGAGCGAATTCTAACGATTTTCACATTAGCAACTGCCTCCGCCCCCATTCCACAGCCACGCCCATCGGACAGCTGTCTATCTATTTGACTGCCTCAACAGGCGGAGCGTCGGAAGACGTTTGTTGTACATCCGCGTCCTAGTTGCAGAACCATATAGTCCCATATCTCCGCCGTATCTTCCATCACGGCGTGGCAGCTCCTTCCGCTCCGTCACAGAGGAACATGTACGTATGATGTCCCGAGTTCAATGGAGAGTTGTGTGCCGCATAAATAAATATAAAGCCTTCCCTTAAAAGCCCAGGCCTTTAACCATATTTCACCATTTTTTACCCAATGCAATCAAAATGTCAATTACCTATATACACTCTGAAAAATTTGAGAACGAAAATATATGCAACGCTCTTTTTCAAGAAGAAATATTCTCAAATTAAAATAAAAGGAGAGCGGATTTGAGTATATATCAGAAAATGTATAAAAAACCGAATCAAAATGTAATTGCCTTTAAAACCAATAATTTAACACCTTTAAGAATTATTCTGAAATCAAAAGTAATGGGAGAATTATTGAAGAATAACATATCTTAAAAAAACAATTTAAGCGGAAGATCCTATTCATCCACTTTTTTCCCTAAAGTTACCAGCAAAATCACCATAGTTAACCCGCGGGGTGGAAATTTCTCTGCCGCTGCTCTGCTGGCGTTCTGCAACCTTGTCCACCTTAAAAGTCATTCTCAAGGGATTTTTCTGCTGTGGAAGCAACTTACCTGACGTGCATATTTATAGACTAAGCAGGCATTCCAGCAGCATTTTCACTGGATTTTAAGCCGCACAAAAATAGCAGCCACTGGTTCTGTTTATAGATATGGATTATTTGCAGCAAAGCCAGTTGACGTAATTACACGCCCTCGGCGAAAATGATGACAGAAAAATCCCCCATTCAGATGCCATAAAGCAAAATCCCTCGCCCACACACAATAGGGCTCAAATGGCGAAAAAAAAAATGTAAACCCTCTTGGCGAATTAAATTAACACAAATTTGGTTGTTGTTTTCTTTTTAAATAAAAATGCATACATTTTGTTTATTTTCATTCGTTTTGCGTTCAGCGGTTGCTTTCCTTTTTCATAAAAAGTCAAATTTACACACTAGATATCATATAGGTATTACATAAAATTGCTTGTAAATATTTTTACATTTGTATAAAAGTGGAAACTGAAATCGCAATCGCCATAGGACATTTGTCATAGTTGTGCTTATGCCTTGTGTTACAAACTACGGATTACAACTGGACGCTCTTACACACTGCTAACTATTATTATTTATGATAATTTAATTATTTTTTCTCATCGCTTTTTTCGCTCGTTTCGAATTTAGTTTATGGTTAGTTTTTGCTTAGGGCTAAAAACTAAGAAGAGTAGGCCCAAAAAACGCGGGCAGTCGGGAATGCTTAAAGTTTATAGATGGTTCGTAAAGGATCTCATCGTGAATACTTCCGCCGGCTGCAATGGCTCCTACTTTTTGTGCTAGAACATAAAACGTAAATTTAATTTGCGGAAAATAAGCAATGCCCATTGGAAATTATCAAAAAAAAGAATGGAGGGAGAAAACCAGATGCTGTGTATGCAAATGATAGTTAAATGCAAACAAAGTGAAATTATTTAATTCAATTAAATAAGATTTTTGTTATTTTTTTTCTCCCGTTCTGGAGCTGCTTTCGTATTAATTCAATTCTGATGGGCGATTTGTGTGTTGTTGTCGTTTCTTTGTGGTTGCTGCACAACATTAAATTTACAATTTACCAATAAATTCTTGCAATCTCTCGTTGCGCGATTCGATTCGATTTGTTTTTAATTTGCAATGAAAATATTTTGTTTTAATGCATGTACACTCTCATGATTAGTAACAAATGGGTTGCTGTAAATGCAGGGGACACGTTATTTGCACAATTAATTAAAATTATCAATACATATGCGAATATCGTAATATCGTACATACATAATATACATATGTATACAATTAGTGGTAGATTGTTATGTATAGAATATATATAAATGATGACAGCGAGCCCTCTACACGCTGATATGTCTGAGTGGATGGTTTTGAGTCGGTGTTTTTTGTGCGGGAGGTTGTGCGTGTAATCAGGATTCGCTTGGATCACATATACTCATAGCCAACCCATACCCACCACTCGGCGTATACGCAACTTCAACACTTTGGCCCATTTCCTTCCAGCTGCTAACCGGAAATCCCCTCTCCTCCATCATCTACTTCTTTTTGCCCTTCCGCTTGTTCTTGTTGCGGTTATTGTTGGCTGCTGCTGCTGCTGCTGCGGTTGTTCTGCTTGCTGGATTCCGGCCTGGGAATTCCGCTCGTCACAATGTTGGACACGGTCCGCGTGGTGGTCACCACACTGGTGCTCGGCTCGTTGTCCTCGGAGCTCACAGCCTCTGTGGTCGTGGTGGTGGTCGTTATGGTCTCGCCCTGCTGTCGGTCGAAGACCTGACGTTCCGATTCCCCGGCACTAAGCAGGCGATTAACAGTTCCTCTCCAGATTCACCCACCTTCTTTTTCTTCTGCTTCTTGACCACCTCGGTGACGGTGACCACGGATGCACTGTCGCTGGGAGCGGGCAAGGTGTAGGTCCTTTGGGTCTCCACCACTGTATCGCCTTCGGCGCTGAGCAAATCCTCCACAGACTTGCGCAGCTGCTTTGAGATCTCGGCCAGGGCGCGTTGCTCGGCCTGCAGCTGGGCCAAGGTATCAGAGCCACAGGCAGGTGCCTCCTCCAGCTTGGTGTCCTCCTTGGGCTGCTCCTCCTCCTCCTCCTCCTCCTCCTCGTCAGTCGCCTCCTTGATGGTTGTATAGGTCTGCGACTTTTGTAGCTTGCTACCGGTGGCTAGGGTATTGAGATTCTCGATCACCTGGGCGCCCTGCACATAGGTGACATTCAGCTGCTCTTGGGCATTGTCCTCCTCGTCGGAGTCATCGCTATCCTCGTCGGAGGAGTCACTGCTCTCCTCCTCCTCCTCCTCCTCGTCGTCGTCCTCCTCATCATCGTCCGACAATTGGCCCGCCAGTTTGGCAATGATTGTGTTGCGGTTGCTATCCTTAATCAGCTCCTCGAGCAGCTGCTGATTGCCGTTCTTGGCATCATCGTGGTCATTAGCAGCTGGTCGACCAAAGTCAACCACATCGTCGATGGCATCGCCGTAGGCGCTCTCCTCGTCGTCCCGCGCGTCGCCATAGGCACTGCCATCCTCCTCATCCTCATCCCCGTGCTCATCCTCCTCGAGGCTCTTTTGCAAATTCAATTTGACGCGCTCGTTCTCCAGCAGCTCCTCGAGCACGGTTTTCATTTTAGCATTTAATGACAGCTCAGACCTGCCACCGCCGGCGGCTCCTGGCAGGACGAAAGTTTCGCTGCGAAGGACGGCCATGGCGCCCTGCTCGAAGTCCTCGTCCTCGTCGAAGGGCAGCCACCGCTCACATGGATGGTGCGGGCACTGCCGTCGCCTCCAATCACGGGATTCAAGACCTCCACAATGGTGGTCTCCTTGGCCAGGGTTTGGTGCAGCGACAATGGAGTGGGCTTCATGCGCACCTTGCCGGATGCCACGCTTTCAATGGACGAGGGGCCATAGGGATCGGAGTCGTGGCGCAGGAACAGCTTCTCATTGTTGGCCTGCACGGTGACTATAGAGGCTGTGTCCTCCTCCTCCTCATCCTCATCCTCATAGTCGTCTTCATCGTCATCTTCCTCATCCTCGTCCTCATCCTCCTCGTCCTGGAAGTCATCTGCCTGCAGTTCCAGCGGCGGTTGCGTGTCATCTAGCCTGACCTCGTCCTCCGCTTCGGGCACCTGCAGCTCCAAGGATATGATGCGCTCCTTGCAGGTCTCCACCTAAGTGTAGATGAGGCGGATACGTTGTGCATTCGGTTTGCCAGCACACTAACTACTAATGGAAGCAAGGCCAAGAAAGCAGAGCAGGCACAGCCACCGCAACCAGAGAGCCAGATGAGTGTCTCTAAAGCTAATTTATACAGCCAGGTGGAAAGGCAACAGCTTGACGGGTGAAATGGAGGTGTGATATTCAGAAAGTAAAAGCTACAAACTATATACATACGGTTAGCATAGTTAACATTAGTAATTATGGGTGGTGGTTAGTGGGTGGGCGGTTTAAAGGACGTGCAAAACTCTGAAAGTTCCAGTTGATCTGATCACGAGCTGGGCGAATTTTGAGAAGCTAGCACGCACAGGGGCAGCCTAGGCGTATACGTGATATGAGGCAAATTGACAAACGGCTGAAAAGGAAAATTGCCTGCATTTTCATCTAGTCCTGGGGGGCAGGGGGGTTTTTTGGGATGGGGCTTATAAAGGACCACGATAAGCCGAAACTAAACTGCAGCTGACAGGCAATCCGAGAATAGAGCCTGCTTCTGCGACATCCTGCGGCGAATTCAATGCAACGGGGTCAAAGTTGCCTTCTCTCTTGTGGCGCTGCCCCAGAGCCAAGTTTTTTGTGCACTCGAATTACCAGAACGAAACCACAGATTCGGCTTCAGAATCAGATACGGCTAAAGCATCGCTTGCAGTCCCCAGAGATGGGATGCAGTTCGCAGTTGCAGCTGCATCTGCAGTTTTCCCCAGCCAGAAGGTCTTATATCTTGCTGTTTCTGATGGCACTCTTCCTTCCTTCCGTTTGGCAAATTGAAAAAACAAAAAACAAAATAGCAAATACCCAAAAACCGGGCCAAAACACGTGCCCGCAGAATAACAATAGAGCATAAAATGCTTCGCGTGTTTGCCTGCCTTGTTTGTTTGTTTTTATTTGCATTCTTTTTATAAGTATATATTTTGAAACTCATTAAATACCCCTGCCCATACCAAACAAACAAAAAACTTTTGCTTTAATTTTAATGGACTGGGCCATAAAAAAGCGGAGCGTCAGTATAATGCGTTTGCATACTAAAAATTGTATCCAGAATCAAGCCCCAAATGACGGTCGACTGAGTCGTTATAGCTTTATAGACACGTGACAACAACAAACCCTAAAAAGACAGACAATGAAACTCTTTGAGGGTTCGACCTTTAATAAAAAACCGCGACACTCAAATGGCAAACAGTAACTGGAAATCATTTTTCGCTGCGGAAACGGAAACCTTTTCGCGTAGGTGGCTGGCAAAAGTGGCTTATTGTCCTTTTTATGCGCTGCACTTCATCCTGCGAGCCTGCCAGCCTGCCATTTCGAGAGTCCGCGTGGGCGTGAAGCACCTGGTCGCTTGGTAAGCTCGGCAAATGTCAACAAAATCCCCTTGGCCACTCTGAGTGCTTCGAGGATATTAAAATTTGTTTTACTCAACTTTCCGGAACCCAAGAAAGAAACCCAAGTAGCAGACAGACAGCCCTATCAGACCATAAAAATTATGAGCTCTATAAAATAATTAAGACGGGAGATGCTTTTGTACAATGAGTGTGCTTTTTGTAGGGTGTAGTGCATTAAATGTACTTAATGTGCAACCGGAAATGCGGACTACAAGGGGACAAACGACGAACAGAAACCGATATTAGGTGGGTGGTATACGCTATATAGGCCAAATTAATGCTCAAAACGGAACTCAAAACGGTGCCAATTGATATGTACAATACGGTAATTGCTGGTTGGAATTTGATTTGCTGGCTCTAACCTCCGTCTCGATGATTTTCTCAATGTACTCGACGGTGCGCAGTTGAGGTCGCCCCGTAATGGGGCATGCCACCTCCTCAGTGCGGCGCACAATCTTCTCATCGAGTATTTTCTCGCGTTCGCGCACAATGACTGGACCATCGCTCGATTTTATGGCAATTTTTGGAAAGACTATTTTCGGCCGGGCCTGATTAGTTGGGGGATAGACAATAAATAAGATAGATAGAGTGGGTGAGAGATGCAGGTATGGGGTATAGATATTATATTCAGCGGGGGGGTTTCCAATTTGCATTCATGGTACACACTTCTCCAAACTCGATTTCGTTTGCCATTCTATCCTTCATTAGTTACAATCGAGTATTAGTATATCTTGCGGTTAGTTAGTGAAGCAAACCATGTAGCTATGTGGGTTCTTTTGCTCGTTTTTTTGGTTTTATTATGTTTGCAGGCAAGTTTCGGGCCATTCCTCCAGCTCATCGGGCACATATGTTAAATGGATATGGTTTTTTGGGTTTGGCTATGGGTTCGCTGGTTAGTTTTGGGGATTCCACCCCGTCTGGAGAACTTACCTCGCTGGCCTTGGATTCGTGGGTGATAAGATCGTCGGTCATCTTGCGCATGTTCTTGATCACATCCTGGGCCTCCACGGCCCCCTGTTCCAGTGATCGAAGACGAGCTGCCCGCCAAGAGGCGCGCTTCTCAGCACTAAATGAATGAGAATCAAGGATTAGCATTTGTCCTTAGAACTTATCATCTATGGGCAACTCTACACTCAATCTGAACTCCAGCTTAAGCAAAACTAAATACCAGATATGATACTATTGTATATTTACAGAGGAATAGATAGAAAGAAAGTGGGTGTGACTAGGACAGACACCGGCTAACTAAAAACAAAGATGTGGAGATATACATAGATATATACATATACGGAAAACATAGAGATTGGTTCGTATTGCCTCGCGTGAGTGGGTGCACTTTTGGTGTGGGTGTACTATATAGTTCATGGGGCTAGTCTGTGGCATTTGGCACGCCCACAAGGGGGCGCCACTTGACCTGTAACCTTCACGAGGGGTTTTCTGGGACCCTGGATCTGGACCTGCACGCATGTCAACTCGTTGACCGTCACGCTTTTAACTTACTTAATCATGGAACGGCTCTTGCCAGTGGGCGTAGTTGGAGTAGTTGGTGTGGTGGGCGGAGTGGGGGACCCTTTGTCATCCTGCGCCTCCAGTTGCCGCAGATACTCCTCCACCCTGAGTCCGGATTGGCGGGCAGCCGAGGCCAGGGCGCGGCGTTCGGCCTTCAGGGTTCTTATGGGTATCCTGCTGCCTCCTGCGGGCGGGGAGGAGGATGACAGTCCGGCTGCTGATGAGGTTCCTCCTCCGGAATCGAGGGCTCTTCGGGCTGGGTTGGCTGTTCCTTTGCTGCTCCTGCTGCTTCTTAAGCCGCTGCTGCAGTCCGGTGGAATGACCACCTTGACCTTTGGCTTGGGCAGCAGGGAGGGCTTGGGTGGATCAACAGGATCTCCGCCTCAATGGGTCTCTTCTTCTGCTTGGGTATTTTGCTGGGGGCATGTGGCAATGTCTGCGCCAGACTTTCTTGTGCGGTTCTGTCATAATTTTTGAGAGTTGGTTTTCGTGTTCGAATGGTGCAAAGTAAAACAACAACACACACATTGAATACACATATATATAAATTTAATCAAATAATTTGCTTGTCAAAACCAAAGGGGAGTTTCGGTGAGATGCGGTTAGCACGTGATATGAGCAGTTACAAAACATAATGACGTTAATTTCTTTTAGTCACACTTGTGTGTACGTGCCCCCTGGATCTGGAATCTGTGCGAGGGTCTGAAAACTTTGCGGCATAACAAGTCGAATTTGTTGTAATTAAAAACCAAGAAACATACTGCAAAGTTGGCAGCCAGAAAGGAGCAGCTCAGTGCCCCAGTAGCCGGCGAAACCCTGACAAAATCACTTTTTGAAAAACTTTGCCAACAAGTGCAATAACATGGCAGCAGGAGATTAGCGTGCCGAGGAGCAGAGGATCCTGTCTGTGGAGTCGTAAAACTTGGCAAGCGCTGTCTGCCACTATATAACTATGTGCAGGGCAGGAGCATGGTGGTATGCAAAATTAATTTTAAAATAAAGCGCCTTAGAACTATTTGCAATGGGATTTTGGCTGGAATCCCTTCTCCTGTCTGAACTTTGTGGCCTATCCTATCGGGTTTTTTATATGCCATCCTCCTTGCCCTCCTGCCCGCCTGCCAAACTGACTTTTGTCTTTAACAAATTGCTACACACTTTCAATTTAACTTTAATACGAAATTATTCACACAAAGCCGGGGCTACTACCACTAGTGCTACTACTACTACAACTTCTGCTTGAGTGATTTATGTTTTTCAATTTGAACGCCGCCGGGCTCCTTGGTCCTTGGGTCCTTGGAAAAGGAGAGAGCGAGAAACTTTTCGTTGAAACACTCTCGCTACCTACGCAAATGTCATGCCTCACGAATCCGACGAGCAGTTGCCGGTATAAGGGGGGCCAACTAAGGTGGAGTAGCTCCATCTCCTGACCCCGGGAATTGCACTTATAATATTCCACGGCGGAATTCTTTTCTTGCTCATTTCTTTGGCTCCTTTTGTGCATTCATTTGTCCTCTCGACTTTTAAATGAACTTTGCCCCGGCACTCGACCGCGCCGCCGCCTCCTGCAATAATAATCCTAGCCGGTCCCTGGGTATTCCAGCCAACTTTTGCAATTGACAGATTTATGCAATGCCCAATGAAACTTTCCTTTTTCATCCCCACCAATCCCAACCATTCATGGCTCTAAATGATTGTTTTTCATCTCTCAATTGCTAATTGCTCGACTCGGCCGCTCATAATGATGAAAGCCAGCATAGTAATCAAAAACACCCCCAATAAAGTCAAGTGGCACTGGGAAAAGAGGTAGTTGTTCTACATAAATGATGCAAAAACCACAACCGAAGAGTGCTCGAATGTTGGTTAAAGTTAACGAATTAACAATTATGCAAACGTGGATATTCAATAAATTGATTGCCATAAAGCTAGTTTGACTCAATCGCCTTTATTTCTAGTTCAATAAATTGTACTTCTTTTGTGTATGCAAAATAACAGAGTTACATAAATATGTATGGCACAAATCGATGACAAATACGTACATATGTGGATGATTAATAGTTATAATAATAATGATGGTAATGATATAATGCTTGTGATTCCATAACCGTAGTCAGTAGTAATATTAATACATTGTTAAGCAGTTCTTATTTATGTGGTTCCTTTGTTCACAGTTCTTTTACATATAAATATTTATAAAATATATCGAAAATTTTAACACCGTTGCTTGACTATCGTTAAACTTAACTAGCTGGAGACTTTAGGAATACATTTGCCTTGCTGAAAGCTGGTTTTCGGAATACGGCTAACTTAAAGTCAGGAACTTTAAGGCTAGACTTTTTCAATGTTTAAAAATAAAAAACCTGGAGTCCCTGTAAATTAGTTCAGTTTTTTAATTGCGTTATTAACGAATAACAATCACGGTAAATGCAGCGTAATCCAAGGATTTACTATCGCCTAGGCGATAAGTCGACATTAAACCGGCAATACCTGCGTGTCTGACTGCGAAATCGTGACTTTATCTACTCACATTAATCTATGGCAATTAAAAGGGTGAAAGTGCCAAGGGGCCAAAGGTGACAGTACGCAAAAGAACATGGCAATCTGATGAGACTTCTTGTCCTGCTCTAAAAATCATTATTTTTAATAACAAACATTTTCAAAAATGCAAAATGCATATAAATTATGCAAGCAACACACAAGGCACTGGAGTTCATCTGTGTGAAGGGGTGTTTAGTACACATATATATATATATGTATGTGTGGGGGTTGTATCTGTGTGAAGGTCCTAGAAGTGCTGCAGGTGTGTGAGTGTGCAGGAGGTGTACTGAAAAATTTCAAGTGTAGCCAACTCAGACAGACTAGTGTAGTTGTTGTTCGGAAAGTTGGGCAATTTGAAAAGAGAAATAATTAGGCTAATAAAATGCAAAAGGGAGTGGCGGGGCAGCATTAACACCTGCCTCTTATCCCATATCAGGTGTGAGGGCGTGGCTGTGCGGGGGCGTAGTTGTCACTCTATAAAGTTCACATTTCAGCGTTACGGGTTAACATGTTGCGGGGTTTCAGTATACGGGTATAAAAAGTTTTCGTGTCGTAGTATAAAAATGACTTTATATTGCAGATTAGTTGGTTTACTGCTTTCGCTTCAGTAGTTGTAACTTATGCTCGGAATAAAAGTCTCGTTCGAAATACACACTTTACATACATAGTACTATATATGGTATAGGTTACACTTAAAGCTATGGTTAATAAACGTGTCACATTCGCACAAGTCGTGGTGAGGGTGTCAGAGCTTAGTTTAGTTTAACTTCTAAATACTGCTTCGATTTCTTCGAGTGGATTCCTGCAAAAGTGGTTGGGAGAAGCAGAAACAGAGTTTTTGTGGTGTACAATTAAAAGGTGCAGAGAGTCGAGCTAATTGTAAAATAATAAACACACAATGCTTTCTTTGGGTCCGAGGATTTCCACCGCTTTATCTTTTGGTTTGGTTCTCTTCTATTCCTTTTTTCCAGGGGGATTTTCTTCTGGCTTTGGTTTTTCCACGACTTGTAATTAATATTTATGTGACCAAAAAAACCGTCTAAACAAAACAATCAACCGAAACGCATACTACTGACGGTAAAAATTAATAAAATAGACTGAGAAAAGGAAAACAAAAAACATCATTAACGCCCTCATTTTTAGCTTAAGGTCAAATTATGCTTTTATATCGGAGACACAGACAACGGCACCCCGAATTTGCATACGCCGCGGAGCGATCCATTTGAGGAACGAACGAAGCGCCAACGCCATAAAATATAAATTAATTTATGCGCAATCAACAAAACATAAATATTTTCATCTGCATAAAATCACAAAAACGTCCAAGAAGCAAACGGCCGCAAACATACACATTTAAATGTAAAAAATTTAATATAAAATACCGAAAGAAGAGACAAAAACCGCGCCGCCATCTCCAGTTGACCACCAAAAGTTCCGAAATCGAAAGATATAAAATCCACCAATTGTCTTGTCGCTGCCAATATTTCAGGGTCAACAGCAACCGCAAACCAATTGAAAGCGAGAGCGAGGGAGTATACATTCAGATATATTTATAGATATATTTCCAGCCATATCCGGCGATCAGCCATCAGCGGAGTGGAGCAGAAGATAGTGGCTTTGGATAGCCGGCCAGACCGACTAATAATAGTTCATAAATTATCAAACAATAAATTAGACGATTAATGCACGACTAAGAATTCGATTGCGTTTTGCCGACAATCTTTGAGACAGACAACGTTTTTGTCGTCACGGAAGCCAATTTGATCTTTTTTTGTGTCGCCAAAAAAATTCATAAACACGGATCTGGCGAGCCTTTTGTGTTCCACAACTTTTATAGATTTAGACGAGTTTAATTTGAATATAAATACAAATAGTTTGCCGGCTAATTTGATATGGGGTTTTTAGCATATATTCTACTTCTCCATTTTTTTACACAATTTATGCATGGAAAAGATATAAACAAGAACAGGAAAGAAGAACGAAACTAGTAGAAATTCTTGCTAGAAATTTATTACAAGGTTATTAACATGTTTATCTTCTTTTCCTCGTTATGAATTCCAAGGCCGCCGAGCCCGGCAACATAATAACACACATTTCAATTTATTATATTATGCATGTAAAGTTGTAAAGCCAGCTGGCAGGCGGGTTTTTTCTATGGGCTAGACGTGGAAAGGGTGGAGGTGGAGAGGTCGCTCCCGAAGTTTTTGGCAGCTGGGCCCCAGCCAATTCCAAGCCAAGGTCTTCTTGGCAAGTTGACAACCAGTCTGCTGGCAGGGGAAATTGCGCCGAATTCTCCGCTTTGGGGGAACTATGAAATCATGGGTTATTTGTTCAGAAAATTTCTAACAAATTAATGATTAGTTCTTGTGGTTCCTTGATTTATGCGAAAGGTTAGCAAAACAAATGCCGTGGGAGATATAGGTTTCTATGGTAAAATACCTAAAGTGTTGACGCCTGCTTTGAAATTCCATCAAAACAAGCTTTTGTAATGCAATATAAACGCTTGAGTGAAATTAGCCATCGCTTTTGTGTACATTCGCGTTTATTTTCATGGCTCTATTCTTAGAGTGAATTTTATTCGCAAGCACAAAGGACCGCGGAGTCCTTAAATGTCGGCAACTGGTTGTCAGGCTATATGATATCTGCTGTTGTCATACGTGGCTGCTTGTTTTTCCTTTACATAGGGATTTTCAGCTATTTGGAAACAGTGAATACCCTCTTGACCAATTATGTTCATATTTTGTTGCCTAACTTTTTGGAACCAAGTAATAACCTTTTAAGCGGCAATAGGTAGTAGTTTTATAACTAGTTTTAAATAAAAACTTGATATAAAGTGTTAATTTCAGGTTATTTGTTTATGACGATAGGTCAAGCAACTGGTCATCTGATCTTTTGGTTACTGACCCCCAGGAAGGGTGTTTGAGAGGCGACCTTTGACTCAAGCTTGATAACTGTGTGCTCTTTTTAATGTTTTCCTGCAACAGCTTTGGGGCGAAATTGTATTAAATTACTTTGTTGTTGCTCATTATATAATGTTGTTAGAGTCAGCCACTGGAACATCGCGTGGGGACGACGAGTCGAGTCGAGTCGAGTCCTTCAACCAGGCGAAGCACATATGTGTGAAAGTTGGCTGATAAGCGCCAGTGTTCCGCGCACAAAATGGCTGCTATGTGGGTGGATTTGGGGGTTTTTAGGGAGGGTTCACTGCAATGGTTGTGTAAAGACCACCTGGCATAAGCTTTTAGTTTCTTTCATTGTTCAGTTTTGTTTGTTCGCCTGTGGTTGGCACCAGTAGTTGCCTTTTGACACAATAGCCTGCTGTGGTTCTACGTGTTGCATGCCACCGACAGTCGTCAAGTGGGCGCCACCACTCCCACACCACCCACTCCCAATGGCGCTAATTATAATTGCCTGTTTCAGCAGCAGGACATTAAAATATCATTATTATACGAGTGTCTTTTTTGTGTTTTTGAGTTCCTCGCCGAGATTCATTTGCGGCGCTTAATTCACTGCAACATGCTTAGCATAAAATCATCGATTCCCAGCGGATACTGAATTATGCGTACGTGTTGCGTGGCGCTCTCTTGACGGCTCGTTTGCCGATCCATTGCGAATGCGAATCCGTATCCGAATCAGAATCTGAAACCGTAAAGCCGGCCCCGCCCAGTTGAGTGAGCAAACGCACAAAACGCAATTTGCGGAATGCCCAAATGAAGTTATTCAATTGTAAAAACAGCTGGCATTGTGCCGCAGGGAATTTCAGTGGATTGGAGTGAAGTGAACACCCACACGGAAGGAACCAGAGTACCAGGAACAAATTTAAAGGGCAAGGGTGAAGGGTGCCTGGCCTGAGGGGCACACATTGCGTATACGCAATGGGCGAAAAAAATTAAGCAAAGCAGCGGAAATACTTACACTTTTCAGTTCAGCCACTCCGACTAGATTATCATACACACGAGATGAAGATGAGATTTGAAGCCCACCGGGCGTGGTCTATGTACTAAAAAGATTTCCACGCCAGAACCATAACATGTTTTCCGTCATTTTTCTCCAGAACTCCTCCCTTACTCATCCTTATTTTTTCCTTATTTTTCACTTTTTTAAGTAGCCTAACGGCTGAGAGTCTGGCTGCGATTTACGAGTCCATAGAACGCTTAAGTGCTACATAAAACTTAAACTGCTTAGGGCTTACTCGCTTATAATCGTATGCATGTGTGTGTTTTGGGGGTGTGTACTTACTATTAAAGACCTCTCAGCCATAGATCGCTATCCCTATTTAATAACACACTAAGTCTCAATGATGATTAGCAGCTCCGTCAGTTGACTGCATGGGTATAGTAAACCGAATGATGGTGTTTTGTGGGGTGTTTTGTAGTGAAGTGTAGAGTGTGTATGCAAGGCATCTAAACTTAAGAGCAACCCATATATTTGAAAGCGTTTTGAAGTTGAAAGAGAACCGGCACCAGAACCAAACCAAAAGCCAGCGGAAAAACTTGACCAATAAAACTAAAAATTGAAATTCGAATAAGAGATTAAAGTAAGCAAATGCACAAACACCGTGAAAGTGTGGGTTTTGTGTGTATGATGGTGTGGGGTTATCATAATCGCATGGGGTGAAGGGTGATTGATTGATAGATAGATTGATTGATTGGGTGGGTGGGTGTGTGTTTGGTTTGCGTTGTGTGGGGCGTGTCTGTGCATTCAGATGTAACATAAAAAGCGCATAATGCAAGCACCAATAATCCAAAATGAGGGCTCTGCACATCCGCCACTCACCTCATGTCCTCCGCATCAGTTAAGTGCCCCAGAGCGGCGTTGTCAACAGAATCCTCCGCCTCCTCCTCCTGGTCGCTGTCATCATTATCCTCGCCGCTGCTGTTGCCATGGCTCCTCTTCTCCGCGGCATCCTTCTTGTCAATGTTGTCGTTGGCGGCATCCAGTAATCTGGAATTCTTATCACGGCGCAATGTTGCAATTTTCCTCTCCTCCTCCTGTCGCAGCTTTTCCACTTCATCCTTTGACAGGAATGAGAAAACTTTGTCTGCCGAGGGGAAAAATGGGAAAAACACAGAGTATATAAAATCAGTGTGAGCTAGGGACATCGCCCCGCTATTAAGTTGGGAAATTAAATAAATAGCGATCCGATGCAGCTTAGCCAGTTAGCTGCCTAAGTGGATTCCATCCCATCCACCTTTGCCATGCAAATGGCGTTGGGTTGAACTCCTTTCTAATTAGGACCCCTCATCCATCCACAAGGCTAAAGGTGACGACCACCGCTGAGGTGGCTTGGCAACCGCAGATAAGTGGTTTGATTGACAAGTTGGGCCAAGAAGTGAGATTTAAGTGGCCAGACCACTAGGTTTTACCAGGGCCAAAGTCCACAGAGAGACATTCTCAATCCACCCAACCCCCCCTTGGCACTCATTCAATCATGGAACTTTTCCCGCCAACCACTGGGAAACTCACCTGTCTTTTGTGTGGGCCTGTGTTGATCCTCCATGGCTGACTCAAAGAAGCGTTTTTTATCGGAAACCGATTTAGGCACTTTACTCGGTGTTGATGTGGGCTCTGCAGCAGCAGCTCCAGGTGTTGACTGCAAAATGGCAAAATGTTTTTCGTTAGCAACTCAACGCACAAGGATTTGTTAAAACGCCAGAAAAACTAAGGAAAAAATCAATAAAGAGATGTAGCAGGCAGCCCGCTGCCATATTTTCAATTAAATGACTGGGAAAAACTGCAATTTTCAAAGCCAGCGCTGAAAAATCCGAAATGGCCATAAAGAAAATTGATGGCACTACACAAGTTTATTAAAAAGCAGACGCCAGAAAGGGGCGTTTTGGTTTGGGTTGGGATTTTAGCAGGATCAGCCATAGGCTGGCTCAATCATAAAGTGACCAAGCCGACATTTTGGGGCTGTCCTGCACTCGGGGCATATAATTTACAGTGGGGTCTGGGTTTGGTTCGGTGGTTCCCCTGCTTCTGGGATTGAATTGGAGAGGGCGCAAATTACAGCTGCGTGGGCTGGGCTAGAAGGGAGCGAAACGAACCGAACCAAACCAAACCGGAGCAGGCCATTTATCACCCAAAGTCGTGTGTACTGTCGGTTTTATGCTTTCATGCAATTCCTCGTGTTGGGCAACATGAGACACACAGTAGCCAGATAAAGGCAAGTTGGGTGGATAGTTAGTGCCTGCAGACTACGACGACAAAGTCATTAAATGGTGGAGGTCGGGGCAAAGGGAGGTTCAGAGGACCGAGGGCCGAGATCCCAGAACCCAGAACCCAGACGAAACAAAGGCAAACAGGGCAAAGGCCAGCGTTAAACTGCACAAATTGCAACCTTATACCAAAGTAGTACACAGAAAAAAATCTAAAAATCGACTTGATATTACCACTGAAATATGTTAACTTGATATTGAGAATGTAATTTCTTAGATTTCCTCTCTTCAAAACTTGAGTAATGTTAGATTGATATTGAGAAATGGTATGGTCTTGAATTTCCTCATTTTGAAACTCTCCGAAATTGATACTGAGTTTCCTTATAATAATCATCATATCTTATCAGTTTTTTCTCCTAGTATGGTTCGAACCTCCAGCTAGGACCACTAGACCACACCAGTCCAGTCCTATAGAGCTCATAAATAAACCAAGCTGGAGAAAGGAGGTGGGGGTACAATTGCATGGGGAAAAGTGAAAGCAGCAGAAGGAGGAGTGCCAGCCATCGAGCTTAACTGAGCTGTATTTTTAGAAGAGAAATTAATTTCGTATCGGATTTTTCGATTTTCAATTAAAGCCAATGGAGGAGCTGGCTGGAGCTGGTTTATCAGCATCAGTCTGTCGTCTGCCGGAGGAGCTAGCTCAGCAGTCCAGCTAATAGGAATTTATTGAGCCATGAAAGTGTTGAGAATGTATGTGTTTCTACCCGAACCCGTACCCTGTGTGATATGTGTGTGCATTTTAGCCCTGTGCCAGCGCATTAAAAGCCAATAAGCCATTGAATTATTCAGACCATGCGAGCGGTGTTAGTGGGTAAGAGATTTTCGTATATGTACTTGGGTGACATCAACGATAAGGCGTTGATAGGGGATACAAAAAAGCACTCCTTATCGCGGGGCAATTACGACCACTCTGCGATAAGATTGGAACAAAGCGAACAGAACAAGATATGGGGGACATTAAAAAGGGGCAGCCAGTCGAGAGCCAAATCAGTGTAGGGCCAGGTGCCAAAGCGGCAGGTTGCTAAACAGTCTGCTCCACTTGGCCCATTAAAGTCATGGCCCAATTAGATAAAAACGCTAAGTAAGTCAAGGTCACTAAACACGGGACTATCATTGCACCCCCATTCAAACAATCGTTTTTTCGACTTCGGGAGGGGGTATTTGGACAAGACAAAATGAAAAGAGCCCACGAAACGCAAATAAGAATAATATGCAATGTTTATTTGCCTTAAGGTATGCAATTAAAAATGTTCAGCTTGCTTCTTTGTCTTGATAAAATAAATTAGCATTAAAATCAACTTAGCAGCGCTACGGCGAAATTAACTTTATAAATTGTAAAATTGTGTTTTCTGTCTGTTTTTCTGTTATTTCGTTTATACTCGGGTATTTTTCTTCGTTATACTACTTATTATTCGTTGGTTTTTCGTGTTTTTCTGTTTGGATTTTTTATTATTTTTTTGTTTAGCAAAATAATAAAAAACGGGGCGGCGTCGGCGGCAGCAGCAACAGTAGAGCAAAAATTAATGGCCCAGTGGGCGTGGTAACTGCAGGTGGGCGACCATAAGCAGCCAACTGTTTCAATCAACGTCAAATTAAACTTGGCCCGAGACTGAGGGAGCTGGCAGGTGGAACCAGGTGAACCAGGTGAACCCGGTGACAGGAGGAGCACGACCAGGAGGAGGAGGTGGTGCCCATTAAACTTCCACCGCTTGCTGCTCAATTTCAACTGCAATTTTGTGGAAAAGTGGCTGTAAGGGGGGACCTCCAGCCTGGGTGTCTCGAAAGTCAACAAAAAGTTGCATCTAATTAGCAGGAAGGTGTGCTGCAAGTTCACCAGAGCTCGGCGCAGCAGACACGACCCACAAATCAATCAATTTAAATTGCGGGCGAGTGAAATGAAAATATTGAAAATTGCAGTCGATAGATAGAGAGAACGAGAAAAAGGCAAGGGGCTGGGCCATTTAATTGATGGCAAAAAGGTGTTAGAATTTAATTAAAATGTATGAGCAGTGACACGGGGCAGAAGGGGGAAAAGAGGGGGCCAGGTGGAAACAGGAAGGTTCTGCGGTCAGCTTAGGAGCAATTAAAACCATCGTCATCGCTGAACACACCAACAACCCAAGGCAAGTGCTTGTGGTTGGTACGGCGGTCTACCTTGGGTGGATCGATTTTTAAACAAGAATAAATCTAGAATCGTTCCTTGCGGTAGGTAATGCCTGGGTATTTTGGAAAAATTTTAGGGTATACGATTTTCCTATCAAATTTGTACTGAACTAGCTGAATTAAGGATTTCTGCAGAGTTATAAACCTCTGAGAAAAATATATTGTACTCCTGTACTTGTTATATTATTATTTAAGCATTATAAAAAACTTTAAAAATATTGTAGAAATAAATATTGTACTGTAGTTAACTGTGGAAACGATTTTTCAATAAATTTATTTTTGGTTTCTCTCAAAAACTTAAAAAGATTTTGTACTGGATTTGTTTTTTGTAATAACATGAAAACGTATTCTGTGAATGGTTAAATATTTTCAATCCAATCTGATTCGGTGGGTTTCAAAAAAGTCATTTAATTACTATTTTTATTCCTTGTGACTATTTTTTAAATTATCAGTATGTTATTTTAAGTTTTCGAAATAATGAACTGGGTTGATTCTTTGGGAATATTTGGCCAACAGTTAAGATTTATTCTTAGTATCGATTCCAACCCAAGTTCAACAAAACAGGGAACCCTATCGAGGACCTACACAGTTGTCTCCTTGCCAGTGGGCGTGGTGGGCGTTCTGGGAGTGGCGGGATGATGCCACGCCCCCTCCAACTGGGGCTGCGACTGGGAGCGAAGCTTAAAACTGGCCATGCCCCTGAGACCATGTGGCTTTTGGGCCACCGGCGGAGGGGCGGGAGCGGTACGCAACTTGGTGGGCTTCAGGGGACGCTTGGGTGGAAGGGGCGGAGGAGTGGGCGACTTGGAAGCCGACAGGATACCGAGGTGTCACTACTGCGCCGCGAGTCAAAGAACGAGGTATTGCTGTAGATGGCCTCCTCCTCGATGGTGGAGTAGATCTCCTCGGCTGTCTCGTAATAGCTGGAGGGACACCACCTACTCCCCCTCCCAAGGACGAACCCTTGGTTAGCAGGAGCGAGGAGCTGGAGGAGCCAATGGAGAAGGAACTGGTGCTGTGGGCCAGCGAGGAATTCGAGGTGCCGACGCGCGCCGTGGTCATGTTTTGGTAATTGCTATTTGAGTCGGGGCTGACCACGATTTCCGAGAAGGTCGGGAACTTCATGGCGGCATACGAGGGCGTGGGCGAAGTCACCGTGACGGGCGGAGGAGGCGGTGGCCCCCGCCGGGTGGGCCACCCACCACCGCCGATTCACTCACCGATAACTGCGGCGATTGCAGGTAGAGCAGGGCCGGCGAGCCTGATTTGTTGGCCACCACCTGGTCGCCGGGCGGCAGGAGGACCAGATTGAAAAGGGGAGAGGTAGAGGGGGCGGGGCTAGGGTTGGGCTTGGGGTCAGAGGTCGCCGAGGGGGAGGCGGGCTTGAGGGTGAGCGTGTTGGGCTGCTGCGGTTGCGGCAAACTGGCATACTGCACCGGCAGTATTTGGGCGGTGGGAAAGATCTGGTTGGGCGACCCGGCGACCAGCAGCTGTCGTTGCGGCGAGTCCATCAAGCGGTTAGTGGCGCCACCAGTTGCAGTAGCAGCATTGGAAGAACAAGATGAAGACGTGGATGCGTTAGCGGTTAGTGGTGGCGGAAACTGTGGAAACTGCGGCGGCTCATGCAAATGACGTGTGTGTTGTTGGTGGGCTGGCGGTGTGGGCGGTGGTGGCAATGGCAGGCTGTCAATGTCGGTGTCGAAACTGGGATCTAGGAAGGGATTCGTTACCGAAAATCCACCGCCGGTGATGGGAACCGGAGGAGCTGGCTCATAGGGTGCCCGCAGCTGATTCCTCAGCTCGTTTTCGCGCAGCAAATACTCGCGGTGCTCCTGCGGCGACACCAGGATATTGTCTGGTGAGTTCTCGTGCAAAACTCGTGGGGGCGGAACTGCGAGGGCGAGGTCGGTGGCAGGGCCTCCATGTAGATGGATTCCTCCACATCCCGTAGAGTGGGAGTACTAGGCACCTTGGTTGGCAGCGTGGCAAAGTTACGGGGGCGGAGGTGGGATTCCCTCGGGCGATTCGGTTTCGTCTTGGTGGTGACCCTCACGGGCAGCTTGGCCTCCACCGGATGGATCGTATTCGTGCTGGCATCGTGCTCGAAACCGTAAAGTCACCCTGACCCACATCGGTGTTCTGGAAGGTCTCCAGAGCCACATTCGCACCAGATCCGCCTTCTTCAGCTGCGGTTTTGGGGCCACTGGTGGAGGTATCTTGGTCGAGTGCCCGTCAGGTTCTCCGTGGATTGGAGATCACGGTGTTGGGTGTGCTGCGTCCACTGGACTGCGACTGGGATTGCTCTAGCAGATCTTCGCTAGATCTCGAAGAGCCAAAGAAGAACTGCTCCGGGTGGAGCGTGGGATCTTGGTGACCTGCTGACCTCCTTGGCTATCCTCGTGTACTCATCATCCTCGAGTGTGGGATACCGGAAGGGATTCTCCCGGTCCAGTTCGCCGGCGGGAGGATCTGGGGAGGTGGCCCTGGAAACTCGCTGCAGTGTGGGGACTCCACTTCACGGATTCGAGCCACTGCCGGCACAATGGGCACTGCTTTGTCCAGCGTGGAGCAGGGACTGGTGGCCCGTAGAATGCCCTTGCGAGGCAGGCGATTCCGGCCCGGTCCTCGAGTATCCTGCTCCGAATCGTAGGCCCTGGTATAGCCATCTGGAGTGCGGGAGCGGGATCGCTCGTAGTCAGACTTGGAGCGCTCATCCCCGCTGAGATCGAAGCTCACGGACTTGCGATGACCTCCATACTCCGGGGTGCTGCGTCCCGATCTAGAGGGTTTATAAGGTCGGCAATCGCTCTCGGAATCGCTGGTGTAGCGACCACGTCGACGATCGAAGGTGTCGGAATCGGTGTCGGCATAAGAAGGAGGTGACTGCACCTCTAAGGGCGGAGAGCTCTCCGTGTCCTCCTCCTCGTCCTCCTCCAGGATGGCATCTATGTCGTCCAGCCTATGGGAACCAGCATGGTCTTCGTCTTCCTCCTCCTCTTCTTCCTCCTCCTCATCATCGTCATCCTCGTCATCTATGATGTACACGGGCTCCGCCTTCTTGGGCTTCGATGGGGTGGTTCGATTCTCCTCCTGCGACTCCAGCATCTGCTGGTAGGAGTAACGTGCTCCGGGGGCCAGGCGATCCGGAGTCTGGGTGCCTCGTTGCTATTGAAGTTTAAATCATTGTGTGGATAGCTCATTTAGTTCGGTATAGATTCGTTTTAGTTTGGTTTTTGGTTTTGTTTGTGGTATTTATTCGGGTGCAACGTCATCGCACACAAGCTTCAAACACAAATTGCAGAGTGCAGCGTTAATGGTGAATGGGTGTTTTATGGGTGATGGAGTATTCTTTTTGTGAAACATTGGGTGATTTTTTGTTTTTTGTTTGATGATGCTGTAATAGTGGCACAAACGACACACACACAAAAGTTGTACTGTTTTGCTTTGTTTTTGGGGTGCAACCTCCTTTGCAACCTGCTTCCATTAGCCAATTACCAGTGATTTTTCTGCTTGATGATGAGGTGAGCGACTGGGACGACGACGACTCTTCTGGCCAATTTGCTGGATGATGATTTTGGGTTGATGAACTCGGCACACGAAGGCGATGGCGATAGCAAGTAGCAGCGATACGAAAACACAGAACAGGTATAGATAGCATAAATACTGAGACAAAGACGAGTCACATGGCAAAAAAAAGTAAAATAACGAAATCAAACGAAAACTTTCCTGAATAAAACTTCTTAACCGAAACACTAGGAAACTTCTAGAATCCAATACCCAAAAACCGAAATGCAATTAAAAGTTTACCCATTTTTGGCGGTTTTTATACGACAAATACATTAAGATTTATTGACATCAAAAATGCACACTTCGAATTCCATTTAGCTATCTTTAAGTTTAACTATCATTAGGTAACAACGAAAGTGGGCAAACTCAACCTAATCGATCAAAATGCGGTGTGAACATTCGGTTTTCTAACTTTGTGGTAACAGTTTGGTAGATACTTTAACAAAATATCCCTAGAGTAGGTATAGCTTGGCTCTTTCAAAAGGTTCGGTATAACAGGATGCTTTAGTTTTCTAGTTCGTCGGAAATTTTCTCAGCTTTTCTCGAGTATTATTCAGTTGCATAATTGGACCTTTTGTGTGTGCTTGCCACACATTGTTACACATTTAGTAATATATATATATATCTGTGTGTTATGTAGTAAACAGTTTTGGTTTCACATAGTATAAACATCGAAAGACTATATGTATAGGTGGAGTACTTTATGCCGCAAAATGGCGGCAATTTTAGAGAGCTCTCCACTTTCATAAATACATTTACACATTTTCGGTAGTGAGTTCCTTTTATCTCAACAATGTGTGTGGGTAGTGTGAGGATGCTGGAGGTTGATAAGGCACACTTTAACAATTTTCAGATGGAGAAAGACATTGAAACCATTTTCAGAGTTGAGAGCGTTCAGATTTTGATTGAATTTCGAGTGTGGGGAGGTGGAATTCGGGAGGAAAGTGCTATAAGTAGTAACTCTTGGCCCTTTGAACACGCCTCCTCAAATCCTAGACTTAGTTTCCCTTTATTTTCTATAAATTGCAGCTCGTTTCAAGCTGTTGCCTCCTGTCCGTTTACTTTTTTGGTTACTAGCATTTGTATTCTGTCAGTTTAAACTAAATATTCAGTCTTATGGTGATAAACATCCGCTTGTTAAGCAATGCGCTGCTCAGCAGTAAGCTGCAATGAAATCGAAATCGAAGGCGGGAGGCAAACAATACGGCAAACAGAACGAAGGGAACAGATTGAGGAAAACAATAAGGAAAAGTTATAAATAAAGGGGGAAATCAACAACAAATCGTTGAAAAGCGGCGTACAGCGCGCACATTATTGAAGGGAAAATTCAGGAAAATGAGAGAAGAACAAGAACAAGGACGAGAAGAAGATAAGAGAGACGTTTTAATGGAAATTTTCTTTCTGCAGTTTTTGAATTATTTACATTTACATTTATTATACGTGCGCCATCTATATAGTAAGAATATATGTTGGTATATATGCTCCTTTTTTATTCCCTACTACAGCTTTCAATGCAAATTCAAAGGGGGCATGCTTTAAAGCCAACAACAAACAATAATAACAATGCCGCCTACGCAGAGTAACAACAACGGCAACAGTAAAGACACAAACTGAAATGAATATAATATGAAAGTAGCATAAACAACAACAACAATGATCGCAGTGAACCTGGCTAACAAAAAAAGGACCTCCTTGGAAAGCCAGGAGCAACAAACAGCAGCCAATATGCTAATAAATAATAAATTGTCTGCTGCCATATCAATAAATGTGGGGCCATCCACTCCACTCCCACTCATCCAGGCCCCAAGGAGCAAAGGAGCAGCTCGGAGGAGCAACATCCAATCCACATGCAGAACACATAACTCATACGCCCCCTGGTACACGCGGCCCACAAGATAGGCTATGATTTTTTATTCACTTTTAATTCAAACTGCAACGGAAAAGCGCTTTAAAGCAAACATCAGATGGCAACAAAAGAACAACACACTCGAACTGGGAAAATGGAAATGGATATCGATGCTGCCATGTGTTTACATGAGAGAATGAAAGTGTTTGCCATGATTATTTTGGTTTTAGTTACAGTCAGTAGGTTTAATGGTCTGATGCTATCATGCTGTTACCTGTGAATTCAGTTGAAAACATAGCTTTTACTTTCAATGTTTTTTCTATCTTTTTCAACTGGTCTCACATGCCAAATTTATCACAACAGTTCGGTGACCTCTGTGGTTTTGTGGAGATGGTTTAGATGGTAGTATGGTGTTTTTGGGTTTGTCATCTTTTTTCTTTTTATACTATATATATTTAAAATTTTCGACACACACACTTAGACGCACACAATGTCAGTGACAGGACAAAGGCATTAGTGAAGTTACACAAACACATAACAAGCGGAATACGAAACAAAAATCAAGTTAAGAGATTGGTGGGGTTTAGAGTTTTTTGTTTTTGGGGCGACTGTCTGTTCGTGTTAGCTGTTACATGGGGTATATGTATCTGTGTCTGTTTTGGATCTGGGAAACCAACTCTTACACAGACAGGCATTATACATTTTAAACAAACGAAAAGTACACGCACAGGTATTGAAAGACGCACACACAGACAGACATTAAAGCCAAGACAAGAGACGTGCATATCCCAACCTAAGGTGGGTACATACCTGTAGTTGCGACTGCTCCTCGCCATCTCTGCCCTCAGAGGTCGTTTGCGTCTGTGTCTGCACGGTGGCGGCAGGAAGCACTGGCCCCGAACCTGGCGAGGATGCAGGAGCAGGAGCAGAGTTCGCTGACTCAGCAGATCCGGCGATGGGCAGAGGTGCCGCCGGCGTTGTGGGGGTGCTGGGATTCGTGTCGAGCGTGTGCTTCGATATGACAACCGTCGTCGTCTTCTGTATCTTGTCCTGCTCGTGGTGCTCCGACGGCGACTTTGGTGGCACGGTGGTGAAGGCGTCAGCCGCGCGCACAATTTCCAGCACCTAATTTGCAAGCGAAACAATGAAGAGGCATAAGTTTCACTCCCCAGGCCAGTCCAGTTCAGTCCAGTTACCTTCTCCTGGGTGCTCTTCTCCTGACCCAAAGGCGCCAGCTGCGTCTGCTGTTGTTGCTGTTGATGGGCCTGTTGTTCTGCGTGAATGAGCGCCACGGTCTGGGTGGCTGGCGTGTCCTGGGCCGGTAAATCAGCAGATGCCACTGGAGCAGCAACAGGAGCAGGAGTGGGTGTGGCAGTCACAGCAGCGGGAGTGGGCGATGTGGTGCCATGCACCATGGCGGCAGCGGCGGCCAGGATCGTTTGGCCAGTTGGCTGGGCATCTGGCTTCTGCGAGGCAAAGACGTCAAAGTCCTAAAGAGAAACAAAAGGAACATTTAAGGTCCGTTCAGCTCCTTAAATTCCGCACAACCCACCTGTCGCAGTCGCTCATCCTCCTCGTGGTCCAGACTGGATACACTCTGACTCTGGCTCAGTTCCGAGCCCGTTTCCGAGGCACGAGATCCTAGGGGGAAAACCAATTTAAGCAAGCCTCAACTGGGGCGTTAAGCTCACGATTACGTACCTTGGCGACTGCCACCGCTGCAGGATGCAGACGAGTTGAAGCCAGTGCTCATGCCGCCGGCCTGGCCAATGGAATGAATTAAATTGGACTTGTCGTAGCCCTTGCAAACGACCAATTGAATCTCGTTGCCGGCGTTGCGCAGCACGTTGACCGCATCCTGGTGCGAGGCGCCCAGCAGCGAGTGTCCATTAACCTCCAGCAGACGCATGCCCACCTGGAATGGAATCGGAGGAGGTGGAGCCAAAGTTTCAATCGAGTTTTCCCCAGACAACAAAGGTGGTCCCCGCCCAAGACAGCAACACTACGTTACCTTAAGCCTTCCGTCCCGTCTGGCCGCTCCGACCGAGTTAATTTTGGACACGAAGACACCCTCGTCGGAGGGATCGGCAGGATTACCGCGCTGTCCATTCAGCCCACCCTTGATGTGCATGCCCAGACGTTCGCCCTCAGCCTTGCTGAGCAGCACTTCCTGTGATTCACAAAGTTAGAGAGATGGAAATTAGCAGGGATTCGGATTAAAAGCTGGCAAATAACAATTGGAAAAACAAAGCATAAAACCAGGAAAAAGCATTTCGACTAATTACTAATACAGCGGGGGTGCCACAGAAGTTAAAAGGGATTTAAAATCACCTTAAATGTAATTCAAGGTGTCTAAAAGTATGCAACAAATATTTAATTTAATTTAAATTGTCTGAAATATGCAAATATATTAAATGTCACTTTGTGTCTAAAAGTATGCAACAAAATAGTTTAAACTCAAAAGTACAACTAACTGCATACTTTTTGACACCTAGGACCATATTTAAAAGAGATTTCAAATCCCTGGTAATATTCTGTAACATCCCCTTTATTTCCTCTCAAAAGTCAAGATGAGGAGCTTACCTCTGTTTTTACATAAACTACTTCTATGCTCTGTGCGTATTGAATTTGTGAGCAGTGGCAGAGTATACAAAAATCGATTATAGAGGAGTGGAAAGTAGATACAAAGCGTATATACATATTTACAGTACAGAAAGCAGTCTAAAGTGAATTTCTAAGGACTTGAGAGGCCCCTCAAACTCACCTGGAATCCTGGCGGCAGTGGATCGTGCTGGATGGTCAGCTTATATCATCACCTGGCTTCAGCAGCTCCAGAACGGCATCCTGATGTGTGGCCTTGGAAACATCCGCCTCGTTGACTTTCAATATGCGATCTCCCATGCGCAGCTTGCCGCACTTGGAGGCAATCCCGCCGGGCACAATCTGTTGGATTCAGAGTAGAATAGAGAAGAGTAGAGAAACCCCAAGGACAATTGTTATATGAATGGCCGAAAAAACTTGAAACTTTCGAGTGCCAGCAGCTGGCTTAGTTGGCTGCTTATAATGAAGCCATCGTCCGAGCCACTGGATTCTGAACAATTGTGCAGAAGCAGCAGCAGCAGCCTGAGCTCATTTGCATTCGCCAGTTGCGGCCACTCGAGTGTTTTAATTCGAAAAGTTTTCACCCAACTGCTGTGGAAGGTAATTGTTAGTTAATATACCCGTGCCCCCAACTTACGTGCGATATGAAAATTCCAGGCTCTCGAGTGCCAAAGGGCACACAGGAATGATCCGTTCCGCCGATGATGCTGAATCCCAGGGAGCCCTGGTTCTTGGGCAGCACAACCTCCTACAGAAATAACAAAATAAGGTGTTAGCACATCACAATATTAATTCACAATGTAATGGGCCTAGGGCTAAGAATCCTACAGAGGCTGCCGTGTATTTGGTGATCCATGGATGAAGAGTGCTTCAATGGGGGTGCAAAATTGTTGGTGATATTTACATTTAAATTTACATAAATAACATGGGAGTATTCACCCTTTTTGAGACATAAAACCAGACAAGCCAAACACCAAGTAACAAAGTCATGCAATTAAGTCAGGGCATTCATTAAACATCAAATCCGAGTACCGAGCGTGATTCACATTCAATAAATAATGAATTACTCTTGTGCTTTTCTTATGAATAACTTAATTTTAGATTAAACAACGTGCAATGAGGAGAGAGTGGTGGCCCACGCACTTTCACACAGATTTAAACAAAAGCTTTTGTGGCTCCTTCTGCGGTTGAGGTGCTCCAGATCTCAAGTGCTGGCATATTGAAACATCAAAGCATAATATTTCTGTTCTATATTCATTGCCCGGAAAACCCGAGAAACTATCTCCGGAGACTCCTGACACTCGCACAGACAAATCCACAAATGCTCATTCGTGTCAAGATGCCAAATAAACACATGTACCTGGCTAACTGCTACTAACTTTTGCCAATTACCTCGATGAAATTGAATTCTTTCGAGTTCGAAGTCATTGGATAACTATCTCAAAAACAAAGGAGTTGGGGAAAATAAATTAAAAACTATTAAATATTTTATTAACATTGCCCCGGAGAGTGTTTACACTCACAATCAGACACACGGATGGAGATTTCCAGATTGCCAGGCCAAACAGAGAAGTATTTACACACAAAATAAACGCAACTGTGTGTCGTCATTTAGAGTATCTAAATCTTTTTTCGGCATGCCCCACTTTATTATTTAAGGAGGTTTGCATGTTGCATACTCTGCCACTGGCTTACTTATTTATGCCGCAAGTGGCAAGTGACAAAGCTTGCCACATGCACAGAGTTTCGGAGATTTCTTGCCGGGATTTGCATCACGTCGGCAATGACACTCGAGTGGCTCTGTGGAAAGTGAGTGGGTAAACCGTTCTGTCGTTCAAAATGAAGGCGCTTTGCTCGTCCTCAATAGATTCAGTTACTAAACTAAATATTCAAGTGGGAGCACTTGGTAGCCACCAGAAAAAATCCCAATAACCCTTTAAAAAGATATTATGACAGTCTCAAGTTATTTGCAAAAGAAACATAAACCAGGATTTTATTTAGAAAAGTAGGCAAGTGTATATTTATCCAGTGTTAGTAGAGAGAAAGTTAGCTTAGTATAGAAAGGAAAATCATGCCTTATGCTTTCACTAAATGAATTAATTCAACAGTTTCCAGCTTCCATTGCCATAACCAACTTAATCCAATTCCAATTCAAAGCTACTACTCAATTAGTCGGAGCAATCACAACTCTTGTAAATGTGCATGTTTTGCATAATGCTGGGCATGAAAACATATGTGAACTCGGCGCCTCCAAGGCAGACCCACATAAAACTAGGGGCCTTTGACCAATAGTTAAATCAAATCGTTTGCAAAACGCACAAATATTTATTTAGCAAATTAAAGGACGCGCGGGCGAATGGGTCAAAGTGTGCCAATATATATATATAAATTTTAAATTAAAAAATTTTGGTGTTTTGGTGTGTGGATGGTGCGTGCTAAGTGCGAATTCCATAGATACCCTATATTTTTATACACATATATTCAGATCATCTGGTGGGATAGGTTCCGGGTTTATCTTTGCTTGTGACTTTTACACAACGATTTCTTTAACTCTTGGGGCAGCGACTTTGACTTTTGAGCTCTAGTGTATGCGGGATGTGGAGATAGTCACCTCACTGATCAGGGGTTCCGCCAACTGATTGTCGGTGATGCGGGTCATCACGGTCTCCGTGAACGTGGACTTGGTGATCGTCTCGGTGACGCGGCCCAGTTCGGTGGGTGCCGCCGGGAACATGGGCAGATCCGGCTGCGGCTTGTTCACATTCACGGTGACCGCACTCACGCCCACCTCGTTGGGCCGGGCCACATGCACCTGATGCTGACTGCCGCCGCTGAGGAAGTGTGCCGGAATCATCGCCTGAAAGTCATCGCTGGTCAGCGGTCGCAGCGAGGAGGGCTGCCCAATATTCGTGATTTTTCGTGATTTAGCAAAGTATTCGGTATAATCGGTTTTAAGAAAGATTTTGGTTTGGTTTTTTTTTGGAGGGGATGGTATGTTGTTCGGAGAAAAAGAAACAGAAATATGTTTTGTAAATTTTGGTTTCACTTTGGATGAGGGGTTCTATTACTAAGCTAACGTGCCTAAGTATGATTATCATTAAATTATATACAACCCTGCAAACGCTCCCTAGTTTCTTATTTTTTTGCTTCTTTTTTGGATGAGTGCTTTGAAGCTGGTAGACAAATAGTGCAAACTTAGTCTCTAATCGGTCGATATGGTTATAATTCGACTATATTTATGAGCATATAGCACTGGGAGGACAAACAAGGCGCACAGGGCACATGCAAAACAAACACAAACAATTTCGTTATACATACGAGTAGATGAGCAAATATATAGTTCTAGCAGCTAGGGTTATGAGTAATTGATAATCTGGCGGAGATATGGATTAGCACATATTAGGTATCTTACGACTATTTAGTGTGTTCATGTTTATGTTTTCCGATTTGTTTGGGACGCCAAATATCAACAACAATTTGCTTGGACGACTTGCGCTGCAGTTTGTTAATTTGAACAGTTTAAATTTTGTCACTTACCTTCTGAGCTGATTGAGAAAAAGTGTGAGACACTGCAGCGCAAGATTATAAATTTTTTGGGGTTTTGTTCTTAAACCTAACGACTGATCATGATTGTAACAAACAAAAAAGTAACGTAACGAGCTTATGGGCAACATTAAAATGACGTGCAACTGGCTAAACAGAAAGACTAGACTAGTTACTACCAACTACTGAGATCCGAATGGGCCTTACCTGAGCCTCGCCAGAATCGCCGCTGGTGGTGGAGGCCGCTCCAAGGTCTCCGTCGCCCAAGGGAACCGAGTTGGTGCGCCGAGGAGCCGGAACTGGTTGCCCCGTGGCACTGTCTATCGTGGCACCAACGGAAGAGGCAGCAACCGAAGGGGCAGCCGAAGCCGCAGCAGCTGTTGCAAATCCATTGGTTTTGCTGCTGGGCAGCGTGTTATTATTGTTGCTTATGCTAGCTGGCACGGGGGCGTGGTAGTATAAGTGGGCGTGGTTGACGCCAGGGTGTTGTACTTGTAGGGCTGCTCCACTTCCCCCACCGAGCGACTGAAGTTAGCTGTTGGATAAAGAGGTTAGAGAACCCTAAGTTATTACCTCTTTAAAAAATATACATTTATGAACGTTTTACTATAGTAAATCATACTAGTTTTCATTTTGAATAATTTATTTCCTAACTTTGGTTTCTGAATTTAGATTTATATGTCGAACTGTTTTCACTGCTTATTGATTTTCCCATTTTTCCATTTGTTTTACAGTTCATGACATTTATGATGGATAAACTGAAAATAGAACTATGAAAGTTAACTAAAATGCTTCCAAAAAAAATAGTCTTCCCATGTTAAATCGTCTTTTTTCAATTCATGACTTGAATGATTTGCTAAATTAAACTATGAATGTCAACCAAAATGCCCTTTCATCTTCCCCCAAAAATTATCTGGAAAATCAAGTTACAGAAGTTCAGCTGCGTAGGATACCCACCTGGTCGGTTGGCCAGATATCCGGAGGGGCTCAGCGAGTTGAGCACGGCCGGACTGCGTGGACTCGTGGGCGGTTCCAGAGGACCTCGATACTCGCGCTGCAGTACTAAACGCACAAATCGCTGCGGTTCCGTCAAACAGGCGACGGCCGCGTCATGATGCGCCTCCGTCATATCGTTGCCGTTAATCTGTGTACAGGGAAATGCCATTAGCTGGGGTCAGAGATTGCAACCTCCGGCTGCCGAAGGACTCCCACTCACCGCCATCACACGGTCGCCCACCATAATTTTGCCATCGCGGTGCGCCAGGCCGCCCTCCGTGAGGCGCGATATGAAAATGCCATCGCAGTCGTCCTTGAAGGGCGGCGAACCCTTGCCGCCCGCAATGCTGAATCCCAGTCCCTGGCCAATCTGATCGCGGATGAGCGTCGTGTGCAGCTGGATATAGCTCAGCGGCGCCTCCTGAAAAAGCCACAAATCGAAACCGAAACCAGAAATCAATCACAAATAGTGAAGGGAGTTGGAGGGATTTCAAGGATTACACACCCTGCCATTCAGTAGCAATCCATTGGGGGCGACAGCAGGCGCGGCAGTGGGTGTGGGTGGGTGTGGCAAACACATTGCCAGAATAGCTATGCGCTGGAGCCACCTGCTGAATGGGCTGTTGTATCTGCTGGAGCTGCTGCTGCTGCTGCTGGGGCACCACTTCAATGGCTGCCGGGATGTAACGCTCGTGGCTGACAGAGGGAGTCGGAGGAGCCCCCGCAACCAGTGGTCGCGTTTCCACCGAGACTTGCGACACACTGCCATCCTCGCTGAACACGGGGTGTCCAATCAGGCGGGTCACCTCCCGTTGCACCACCAAAACCAGGACGGCACCACAGGCCTTAGCACCTGCACCGCCTGGTAGTGATCCGCATCCACCACCACGATGCCATTGACCTTGATCACCTTGTCGCCCACTCTAAGGCCGGCCAGATCGGCGGGTCCTGCCTCGGTCACCCGGGATATGAAGATGCCATCGTCGTCGCCCTTGAAGGGCGTGGAACCCTTGCCACCGGCAATGCTCAAGCCAAGTCCGGCTGCAGTGCGTTCGATGTGGATTTCGTACTGCTCCAAGCGCAGCTCCGTGACGCCATCCAGGTTGTCTGGAAAAATAGGGGAAATACTGATTAAATATCTGTTTATAAAGGGGGATTTATAGTATAGTTCCGAAACTGTTACCATAATGCTGTCTCTGCCTCTCGTAGTCCCGATCCACTGGGTCATAGCTGGTCACTATCCTCACCCGCTTGCCCTTGCGCTGCAGCGAACCACTGGGACTCCGGTTGGAGGAGGCCAGGGAGCTGCGCAGGCTGCTCATCGCCGGACTATTGCGACCACTTCCCGCTCCCGAGTAGCCAAAGTTCCCATTGCTACGCTGGCCATTTCGGGGCAGGGTATTGTTGCCCTCTTTGACTTTGATTTTGACATTGAACATGGCTTGATTTGCTTTTTATCTGAGTGCACTTTTTAATATAAGCAGCCGTTAGGCATCTTGTCCAGACACCCTGTGTATGCGGAGGAAACAACCTATTTATTTTATTTGACTGCACTTTTTAATATGCCAAGCCAACTTTTCACAAGAAGCGCTATCGATCTAAGTCTGCCGGAGGCATAGACAAAAGCCGGCACCCTATATGCAACCATTCAAGTGCATTGAAATGGAAAACCCCATCGGAATTACACATTTATTGCCTTGATTTAATCAAATTTTAAACACCTACCCACAAAGAAAATAACTAGAATTTGCCTTAATGATATTCAAATTGAATGACCCGAAAGTTGGCCAACAGCAGCTGGTACTTGGCCATAAGCAGCAGTCAATGAACCGCTGCAAAAGCCATATTTCCCCCCCTCAAAAAACAGGCATTAAAGCAACGACCTTGGCAGATATACACCCCCCGAAATCCCCCATCTGAGAATAGGACTTTGTATAATTATTAAATAAATAAACAGACAGTCTGCCAGAAAAGTCTCAGACGTCCCTCAGGTAAAAGAAAAGTAAAGAAAGGAGGCTGGGAACAGGTGGCCACTTTTCCCTACTCAGAAGCACATTTATTGCTTTTATTTTCCCTATTGCTGATTTGCACTCAATAAATCCGTCGGCACTTGGGCCAACAAAATGTTTTCCTTTGGGCCAAGAGGACGGGAAGCTCTCCGCTCTCGAGACAATTTCACTTTGTAATTGTATGCGAGTTTTCATGTTAATCAAGGCATAAATGAAAAGACAGAGGCACTCAGCTTTAGCCTCTCCTGTCTGCCTGTCAAGTCAACATTAATATAGCTGGATTTCAGTTCGGTTCAGACATTGCCATTCACTCGATGTGCCATTATTGAGTTTGGTAAGTTGAGTGGGGTATTCAGAGAACTTGTACCTCTTGCAGACCCAAAGTTGTTTGTCTGCCTGCTTACTCTTCATAATTCAACAATTTCAATGGGCTACTAAAGGTGTTGTGGCAGCAAAACATCCCATTTAAATGTTTTAAATGCCATCAACAACTCATCTCCCTCGTTCTCGATTGGATGCCCTGAATTGTCGGACAAATGTGTAACCAAGAGATATTTTTATGGATATATCTGGGCCACTTGCATATGTTCAGAATAAAGCCATCTTTTCATGCTTTTCCTGGGGGGAGGGGTGGAAGAACGGTCCAACAATAACCAGAGAAAAGGCCATAAAACAAAATAAGATTTTTCCCGGGGAGGAGGACAAATGACACGTGCTGTGTTGTGTGTTTTTATTCCGGTTTTCCTGAGGACGCCGGAATGTAGGCAATCCTTGGATGCGGGGCAAGAAATGGGGTTTTAATACCAGCAGGAGAACCAGGAACTGCACAAGAAGGATCGCATAAAGTTATTTGTTTTCCTCATATTCCTTATCAGACTTATTTCGCCGATTGCCTGCGAACTTTTTGCGGCACCCACTTAAGCGGGCATTTAAGCATTTTACGATGACATCACGCGTGCAGCTTCAAAAGTAAGGACCTCATCATAAACATAAACATATAAAAATTTAAATACACCGACAGACGTAAAAAACGAGAAGATGGCCATAAGAAATGATGATTTCCCGAATGCATTAGCATTTGCACGCTGGTTATGAATCGAAATCAGTGGCGAAATCTCCAGCTATCTCCCCTCTCAGATGCCAAATTCCAAATCAATGGCATGGACAACTTCTGGAGGAGCTTCTCTTTTTGTTTTGTTTTGTCATTTATATGTAAATGACCTGGTAGAATGGAGGAGGAAACTCCTCTCTGTCCCTGGGAAATTAGCCAACAGCATGGACACATGCCAAAAGGCAGAAATCATATTTCATTCGCCTGTCTCCTTTTTTTTCTCCTCATGGCCATGACAATCTGTGGCCAAGATGCCACACATTCGTTATGACGACAAGTGAAAAAAAGAAACTTTTCCCATTCATGCAAATTCCGCTTTTCATTCTGGCTGGGCATTTGAGCCAATGACCGCATCGAATCAATCGATTTTAATTACCCCGACATTATCAATGACCAGAGATCAAGTATTCAAGTTGCCAGCTTAAAGCCCCTGATCAGCACTCTTTTATCCCTTTAGTTTCCAACTTTTTTGTGGAAAACTCTGGAGTTATGGAGAGCTGGCTGAATGATTAATTGCCGGCCAGGTTAAGCGGCGATGCCACTGACAAATTGCGAGTGTTAAGCTTTGGAAATCAACAAAAGCGACCGTGTGACGTCCGCTTAAATGTGGCGACAAAAATTAATGAACAAAGTTTTTATGCTGCCATAAAAACAGCCTGAAAAATATCCCCACACTAAGCTTCCCCATCAAAACTGACTGCATTGAATGGCATTCGCTGTTTTTGGGTCTTTCCTATAGAGTGGAAAGGGGTGTGCGTTCAAAACACAGCTATCTAATCAAACTTTTGGAATGCCTAAGCCAAAGTGATAAGGCAAAACAAGGGAAACAAAACGAAACCGTAGTAGTTAAACAAACTGCCGATAAGGCAGCTCTGAATCATTACGAAATTTTTGGACACATACGTAGGTCTGGTGAACACATTACAACGAGGAGAACTAACCCAAAAAAGCCAGTACAGCAAAGTCAAGTGGTAGTTAATGACCTTGGTCCACCTGTCGTATGCGTTATTTCCTGATACCAAAGGGGCAACCTGTGGTAGCTTTTGTTTTTGTGCTGATTATAACGATACGGATGATATCATGGGCTCGAAAAATGCTTTTGATAATGAAAACCCGAGTGTGAGAGTGAGTGTATTCATTTTGATTGCAATGTGGGGCCAACAATTCAGGTCGTCACACATTCCCGCATCAATGTTTGTTGACAAACCAATGTTCGCTCGGTTGGTTTGGTCTGGTTTGCCAGGACAGACAGATGCCTCTGCTCTCTAGCGACAATTACTCGAATTTTCCACATTTCATGCTATCAACATGGCGGTGAAAATATTGGAAAATACGCAGTGGAATTCTTTGACCCGCTGCAACTGGCGTTTATTGCATTTTTGTTTGTTTTCTAGCGCGAAAAATGGCAAGATGGGGAGGTTTTCCTTGTTTTTTTTTTTGTTAGAGGGGGGAAAACTGTCACGAATGATGGGAAGGGGGTGGGAAAATTCTACCAGTTGATGCGATAAACTTAGCATGCAACTGTGAAAAGCACAAGGCCCAGTTCAGGGCTGTTTGTACATTTTCAAAAGTTAAACATTCGGCAAGCCGAAATCGAAATCGTGTTTGTTTGATGGCCATTGATAGAAAGAATGCCCAACTGCAAATAGTTTAAATTGCTGTTTGCACAAGAGCTGCAAGAGAACAGCAAATAATAATGCATACTTTGTTACATGGGTGATGAAAAGGGCGCACTGAACAAACAAACTGGGGAAACCGACAAACAATCATATATATAAATCCATATATTCGCAACATACTGAGGGAAAAATTCAATAAGAATCCCATGCAATCAACGATACAATACATAAATAATGAATGCCATTGCCTTGAGCTTATCAACGGTTTATTTATTGGCCAACATTGGTCGACTCGGACGACGGTGCTTTTCCGCTTTCTGTTCCAAAGAAGGTCTCACACAGTCTGGGCTTTAAGAACCCTGCAGGAAATGTGCAGCAAATGCAGCTTATTGTTTGCCAGAAACCAGAAAACAGAAAAAAATGGTATAGAAGTTCTGCTTCTGGTTCTGGTAGGAATGTCAAAAGGAATTGTGCAAATGTTGATTGTATTGCCGAAGCGTTTGCAATATCTAACCAGAAAAATCTGTGCAAAGGCGAAGGAAATGCCGGGAAACCGGATATGCACACAACCGAACCGAACCGAGCGCACACTTTTCCTGTTTGCCCTCTGCAAATATCCCAGGCAATGCTCGTGCTATATAAACAAGACTAAATTTACTTGCAAGTAGCTCATTTTCGGGGATATGCAATGCAAATGCAAATAGGGAGGGCCACTTGGCCCGGGGCTTTCCCACTTCCCAACCTTGGATCGACTGCGAAGCTGATGTGCAGTTGAAATTCAATTATGGCCTCAGGCCATCATACTCTGGCCGAAGCGCAATGTGTGAAACTTTCCAGACGACTGAGCCGATGCCTCCTCAACTAAACCTCCTCCGTCTCCGTAAAGGAATTATGACAGACAAAAATCGATAGCAACAAAAAAAACACGTAAGCAGCAGCGCAGAAAACATTTCACACTCTGCTCCCGAGAAGTATTGTTTATGACTAAGTCAAGGCGTGTGTTTATCTGCCTGAGAAGCTACTGCTGCCATTGTTATTGGGCAAGATCTCGGGGGTCTTGGCCATAACTGGCTCTCTGTTTTGAATGTTAATACGAAAATAAAACCGTATAATAACAAGTGCAAATGGACGAGTGTAGCGCGTCTCTCGCGACGTTGACAAAACGCAAGCGTAACTGAAGAATGACTAAAGCGGGCGGCCAGACCCGGTCGCAAAGTCTGGCAATTGCACTCGGGGTCTCAGTCTGGGGCTCTCCACACAGCTCTCTGCCAGCTCTACTCACTCTCAGTTTGCCCAGGTATAGCTAGCCCTATGTGTACCCCCTATATAATGAGGCGACACCAGCTCATTTCGGTTTCATTTGCACCATTTTTTATCGCTCTCTGCTTGTTTAGCCCGCTTTTGAGTGGGGTTTGCACTGTTTTTTCCCCTATATCAGCTCAGTGTTATCAGCTTTTGCAAGCTGATATCATGGCCTGATAAGGCGAGAGCGCACTACATACGTGCCCTACCTATTTTTGGGCCAAGTTAACGCTCAACTGTTGCGTGTGTTTCGCAACAGCCACCTGTAGTATTCCGCTGTCATAACGAACTTTTAATCGGGGCTCTCCCGCTCTTTCCCTTTTTTGTTGATATAATTATGTATCGGAAGCACATATTGTTTGGCTCTTTGACGAGGCCTAGACCCCAAAAAACACTCGATGGCGTGTGGAGAGACGGAACAATTAAAGAGGTTCCCCGGGTGGTCTCTTTGTGGTTTAGTTTGCATCCCAAATAGAGCCACTGAGAGGTTGCCAATTAAGTTTCCACTTCAGTGTCTGCCCTTTCAGGTCAGCCGGTTGGCAAATGAGTGAAAATCACCAGTACACCGCCCACTTTCATATCGATTTCCCATCAGGGTATGCACCCAAAGCACTTTGCCCACATTACCCACATTTCGGGGACAGTTCACCGAGATGGAGCAATATAAATGTAATTAATTGAAACAATTTTGGTATTTACCTGAGTCGGTGGCAGCCTCTGCTTTGCCAGCTGGAATGGGCGAGAGCGAGGAGTCGAAGGGATGCTGCTGCTGCTGCTCCTGCTCCTGCTCCACCTCCAGCTGCTCCTCCTCCTCGATGGGGATGTCACCTTGCCGGACAGCGAGTGCTGCGGTGTGCCATCATTGCGCTCCTGGGAGGCCAGGGCATTGGCCAGGATCTCGCTGGCCTGCTTGTCGGTTAAATGCTGCACTCGCTTGTTCTTCAGGTGGTGCGGAGTGTCCCTGGTCAGGAGAAAGTATACAGTTATGGTTAATACAAAATGGTTAAATTGTATATGGGGGTTACTAGGCCTAAGGATTGGAAAAGGATGCTGAAATGTAAGAAACTAGGTCCTAAAAGGGCAAGAAAACACTAAATGATCACCAGTTACAGGCGTCACTTAGGACCAACATTTCTATAGCACTTGAAGTGTTTTTAAAAGACATGAGATCCACTTATTTTTACGATTCATAATAAATCATGATTATAACAATTTTAGAATTTGGAATTTTTATATGTACAATCGGACGATTAGATCACAATAACTATATTTTTGTCAAACATTTATATAGTTTAAATCTATCCTTAATTAAAGTTTGGATTTAGACCTCACCTTCTGTGCAATTTTGGGGGCCTTTTGTAGAAGTCATCATCTTCGCCCTCCACTTGAAAGCCCACACGGCGATCGGATTCCTGAGGAGTAAATAAAATCAGGATTTAGAATATGATCATCTTATTATTAACCATCCCGAAACTTACAAACTCATCCTCCTGCTCGTCCTCATCCTGGGCCTCATCGGTTCCACCAACTGTAGCCTGCAGTTCGGCAACCACAGCTGCAGTGGCCACCTTCACATTGTTGGCGGTGGTGCTGCTGCCCTCTGAGCCACCCTGTATGGCTGGTGGTGGGACTGTCGTCGTGGTGGGAGTTACTACACCCACTGGCTGCTTGGAGTTTACACCAACGGTGGGTTGCTGCACTGGCTGCGCCTGCTGTTGGTGATTGTTGGCAATGGTTCGGGTCTCGGTTGGCGTCTCGGCTAATTTGGTGCCGTTCTGGGGAAGAAAAGAGAAATTTTAAGTTACTTTACATTTACGTTGGGTACTTTACTGTTCCCACTAGCAATGTGTGTAATTTGCAATTCTACTTATTTGTATCTGTAAAATATGTGTAAGTTACGTTAAATTTAGTTTGAGCCGCTAGAGGTCGGTGAAAACTCTTTCAACCAAATTTGGTTGTATATCAATACAAATTTCATCTGCCTTTGGTTGAAAGAGATTTCGGAGACTGTGTTTATAGAGATTGTATACAAAATATATTACAAATTAAACAAAATTCAAATTTATAACGAAACCTATAATAAATAAATATAGATTACTTAATTCTTGAATTGAATATTTAGTAAATAACGGTTGTAGTGAACCCAGGCAACTATTATTTCTACCGTTCCCAGTTAAAACTACCCTATTTCCATATTCTTTTTAAAAATACCTTAATTCTATGGTTAGTATTGAGCCAGAGAAGCAATACAAAGTATGAAAGCAATCGTATATTTGCGATAATAGGTACTTAGACCTGCCCTCTACCGATGGAAACACAGCAGAAGCTTGGAACTCGGATCTAATCCGGATCCGAATCCAGCACCAGCACCAGGATCGGGATCAGAACTCACCTCCTCGGGCAGCGTGACCAGGTTGGCGTGCTCCTCGTTCCGGCTGCGCTCCACCTTCAGCTTCTGCGCCTTGGCCTTGAGATCCTTGGGATGCGGCGTGTTCTGGCGCACGAAGGGCGTGTCCTTCTCCTGGCTGGCCTCCTCGGAGAACTTGACCACAGTGCGCGACGGCTCGCGCTCCTCGAACGGCTCCGAATCGGATTCCAGGTCACGGGCTATATTTTTCAGGGGCAAATCAAACGAATTCCATTAGCATGTAAATCAACAGTGCAACGAGGTGTTTTTCTGCTGCTGGGGGATTTGGGGTCTCAGATTAGTGAACTGCATGCCCATGCACACACTACGTAGTTTTTGGTTATATATAACAGAGATATTTATTATATACAAACTGGTTTATATGCAAAACGCTTAATGGTCTACGCTTTTGGTTTTGCACAAATCAATAAATAAACCGCCCATTAAAACTACTATTTTGGGATCGCTGGCATAAACACTTTGGCAGGTCGGTCTGCTGCCCGGACCAAGACTAATAATCCATCAAGCGCTTATGAGAAGTGTGTGCGCCGTAAATTCTTCACACCACGAACATGGGTAAACAAAACATAAAAGTTGCAACATGTGGGGCAATCGGGGGGTACCCAGAAATTCAGATTCAGAATCAGATTGCCCAGTCCCCAGCCCACTGGCCACCAATCAATCCATCTACGCAGCAAGTGCAGGGGATGGATGGGCAGTAAACAAATGCAAATCACTGTTTTCCACGCAGGAAGTGCCCCTGTAGATGGGCCCAAGTGGCTGCATCCACACAATTGCGGACTCAGAATGTCCGGCGCAGTCGTAACTTACAATCGTTACCGATTTTAGCATAGACAAATAAATTTAGAGGCCCCAAAACAGTGGGGAGTCCGAGTTAAGCAAGCGCCAAGATGAAGATTTATGCAAATAAAGCGACAACCCGTAATGGCAATGACAATAATAAGAGGCCATCATCTCGACGCTTTGAAAATTATTTCCTCTTGTTTTTCAGTTTTTCTGGGTGCCTAAAGTCGCATGACTTTAATTGGATAATTTGAACAAACCACTTACATGGCTCTAAACCATACGGTGGTATGTGATCTTGAAACTATTCACACATTCGTCTAAATTGGATGAGTTATGTGCGTTATGTGTGCACTTAATCCGTCATTGACCATTGATCGTTGATGCCAAGTTACCAGACAAGTTGGTTCTCCAAACATGCTGATGATATAAGCTATTTATAGGCAGTCGCATATCGAATAGGCCAAAACCCGTTTGGAAGCCAAATAACAGTTACAATATATCTACTTATACATTCATTCGATTGGGAAGCAACTACGCCACAGAGCCGAAACCACAATGGCAACATTGGTAACAACGAATACAGGTTGAATCATAAGGCACTCAATCAGTGAATGTCGCAGTAAAGACTGGTGATAAACGAATTTGGCTCTAGGCTAGGCTGTATTTGCATATCACTACGGGAAAGTTCTCTAAATATAACTTCTTTATAAAGTCGAAGACTATACTAAAGAATCTATTTTTGTTTACATTTTTTACTACATATATTTAAACAGAACGGTTTTTTTTAAGTTCATACTATAAACCACCTTGGGTAACTACAAATTTCTATGTTAAAGCCTAGTTTTACAATAGCACATCAAAATATTTACAAGTAATACTGTATTATATTTAAAATTCTTACTTTATTCTGATTCATACAAGTAAATTCCATTTATTTTCCTTTTTCATCCACATATTTGAAATACTTCATCGAGTTCAACGACTCTTTCTTGGATTTTTAACTGGTTTCTGGGAAAAAAGATCTCCCCAGCCAGGTCCCACTGTACCCACTGTGACAGGCCATTAATCAACAGTTAGTTTTGGTGGCATGCACACACGTACACCGTATCGAAACAAGCCAGGCGATTAATATTACATACATATAATTACATTTCTCGCCGATCTTGCCCCAGTTTTTTCTCAAACGGCCACGCCCCTTCGCCCCATATGACGTCAGACCCGTTGACATCACTCAAGTGCTCCAAATACTTTATACGCCTGGGAAGAATAATCTGCCCAGCAGATTAAATGGTAATGGATCTCGGGTATTCGCAGCAGCCAACAACAAACAAATCGTCTGTTTGCTGGACCGCTTTGATCTGGCATGCTGCCACTGGTCAGGCAGCTAGAACTGCTCAATTCGGGGGCAAATAGATCCAAATCATTCGCCATTCCCCAGTCCAAGTGGGTTTTTTTCAGGGTGTGGGAACCAAACGCAAAAATCGCCACTGATCTCTGCGATGGGAAACACGCATGGTCCGTCAAATCGAATGGAATATAAACACAAAATAATAACATAATCAAATCAAACAAGCCAAATTGAACACACACTCTTCGTCATCATCGAGATACGTTGCGTGTGTAAGAGTATTGAGTGAATACCATATAGAAATCATATATTCATGTTTTTTTCAGCCAACGCCCGGTCCTGAGACACCCAACTATAAAAAAAAAAAACAACTTGTTGCCATGACGTCACTTTTTCTGGTGTGCTGTGAAAAACCGGTTAGTGTTTTATTCCAAACACTCAAGCCAACACAAATGCTGACTGGCTTTTGGCCAGGCCGAGATGCGCTTCCAAAAACCAAAAGTGTTGGGGAGCTACGATGCTATCATCTACGAAGAACCCAAGAAACGGAGTTCACATGGTTAAATGCCAACCGGAATAGGTTAGAAAAGCTGTTTAGGTGTGGTTTTCTTAAGAACATTTAGTTCTAGTCTTTTTTTGGTTTATAATATTATATTATTATATTTATATCTATGTAAATATTATTCTACCACATTCAAAGCAAAGCGTACATGCAAAAGGCCAGCCAATACAGTAGAGTTCCAACTCAAATTAATTTTAAAAACTTAGTTTCAAATAAATCGAACCAAAAGCTTAAACCAGGCGAGAACTAGAATTCCAAGACGAGCAACTCTACATATAGACCCGTTAACTGTACAAGGCAGATATAGCGCTTATTGTTATTGATACTAACAAAGAAGGTAATACTCAACGCAAACCTTTCTGCTGATAACTGAAGAATTCCGTCGAATCGAATTTTTCGCTTGATCTATAAAGCGTCATGGGTGGATAGTCTTTGGATGGATTGGATGAACAAAAATAGAGGGTGAGTATGGTGCAAAGGTTTTTGAGAAAAGAGAGCGCGTGACGTGGCGGAATGCAAAGAAAATAATCGAAATCAGTATGGAACATATAGAATAATTATGGAAAAAGGTGCTCTTGCCGGAAGCACAGTTAGAAGATAGTTTATTCACAAAAATAGGTGAAAACTTGCTGGGATTATAAACATTTAAATTAATTTATAAGTCTTGCCAAAGTTTTTGTATGTATTTTTTGTTCATCCAGTAAGGTAGTAGTACACAAGTACAAAACTTGGATAAGGCTCGTTTTGTTGGCGATGTTTGCTCACTTTGCGGGGTTTATCTTATCGTGAAAATGCCAGCATAGATGGAAGATATTGCACAACGATACGGGGGGATTATGGGGAAAGGAGGTGTTCTGTGGAAACTATGTCAGGTGCTGATAAAGCCACATAACTTGGCCGAATTCGGAACACCACGAGCAGACAGCGCCAAATGTGGAGCAACCTTTAACCAGTGGGGCACTGGGGAATTTATACGGCTCCCCAGCTGACTCATCCGAAACTCACCTGGGGTAATTGGCTGGTACTCCTGCTGGGGCAGCAGATAGCAGGACAGCACCTGCTCCCCGGTTTCCGCATCCACGTCCGGCTGGAAAGTGAGCAGTGGTTGCGACTGATTCTCCGACAGCCAGACGGCCTTCAGCTGCAGATTGACCAGGGAGTAGGGCAGATACAGCAACTGGTTCCCGCTCACGTCCAGCACATGGAGCACCGTGCAGTTGCCCAGCTCCGGCGGCAGCTTCTTCAGCTTGTTGTCCCGCAGACTGAGCACCCCCAGATTGGCACACTGGCCGATCTCCAGGGGCAGGTACTCCAGCGCATTGCGATCCACGTTCAGGTTGCTCAGCTTGGTCATCTGGCCAATGGAGGCGGGCAGCTCGGAGAGGAAGTTCTCGGTGAGGATCAGCTCCTGCATGTTCTCGCAGCTATAAAAGGGAAACAAATTTAATTAGATGGGGTATAATATTTTATTCCATTTTTATTAAGAAACGTATATATTTAATCAGGAATGAAGTTTAAAGGGTTCGGTGTATATTTTATATTTTTTTAACTCAAATATTTTTGTTGTGTTTGCAAATATTGTGGTACAACCAGATAAGATAAGATTATGGTCTGAACACGAAAACGTGGGCAGGTTATTAATTACAAAAAATTTATCAGATGGTTCTAGCGCTTGAAAGGTTGTTATTATTTAAATTATGAATCAATAAACGAATTATGGTAAACAATTCATACCGAAACAATAGTAAGATATGAAAATAAGATTATTGTGGGAGTTTTCATTAAAGTTAGTTACTTGATATAAAAAACCAAGCTACTTACTTTCCGAGCGTATCGTTTAGCCGCTGCAATCGATTCTGGTCCAACTTCAGGATGGTCAGTCTGCTCAGCTTGGCAATGCCATCGGGCAGGGCCTCGAGCAGATTCTGGGCGAGATCCAGGTCCGTCAGGCTGACCAGGCCGCTGATCTCGTTGGGCAGCTCTCCAGCCGATTCTCGGACACGTCGAGGTAGGTCAGCTTGGTCAGGAGTCCCAACTCCGGCGGCAGGCGCTGCAGCTGGTTATGGTCCAGCCAGAGCTCGTGCAGACCGGCAGATAGCCCAGGTAGGGCGGCAGATCCTCGATCTCGTTGTCGCCCAGGTCCAGGCGCTTCAGCTTCGTCAGCTGGCTTATTGTCTCGGGCAGGTACTTGAGCAGTTCTCGCGCAGCTCCAGCGACTCCAGCTGGGTGAGGCTGCCAAAGTCCGCTGGCAATGTGGTGAGCGACATGTCGTTGAGGCCCAGGACGGTCAGGTTCTTCAGCTGGGAGAAGCCCGAGGGCAGCTTGGGTATCGGATTCGAGCTGAAGTCGGCCACCTGCAGGCTCTGCAGATGCTTGATATCGTCGGGAATGTCGGGTATATCTGGAAAATGATGAACAGAGCGAAAACATATTGTTTACTGATTGCTGTGTTATGGCTTTTCAATGGGCCAGAGCCGGAGCCAAAGCCCCAAGCTCGTTGGCTAGGTTATCGGGTTACACATTTCTATCTGCTCGGCTGATTGACTTGCTCACGCATGAATTGCTCCAAAGGGTCGCGTTAATATATTAATAAATCTGCTATAAATATTCCATGAGACCCATCGAGCCAGAGACTTCCGCATATGGCCTTGTCATTGTCTATCAATTCAGAGTTTAAATTTTAAAGACCAAGTTTTGGGGAATAAACCTTGGTAAAACTATCGACTTTGGCTGGGTTTACACCTTACAGCCAAGGCTTTCTTTATTATTACTCGTTTCGCCCGGTCTGATAGAGCGAGACGAAGCGTAAAACGACAAACGAAACTTGTTGATCGAATAAATTTCGAGCTGCCAAAGCGGAAATGCGCACGCAAAGGACCCGGGAAAATGGGGAAAACAGAGTGATTGCGCTTGTGTATGTGCGCTGTTTGCCAGCACGCCCACAGAAGCTTTTCCACGAGAGCCTCGTACAGAAAACCACAAAACTGGCAGCGAAAGCAAAACGACAGGTGGCAGTGGTGGGGGTGGGGAAATGGCCTCAAGCCTTTTCCGCACACTGTTTAAATTGACCCAGATACATGAGGAGAGGGGCGGTTGAACACTTGTACGCCCATCCGCCCCTCGGAAAACATCGAAACATCGTCATCGGTCAACGCGGGGTGACTTGCCCCATGTGTCCACATTCAATCCAACTAATACGACACGTGGGACCAGAGCGAACCCGCCTCCCGATGGGGCAGCCAGGAAACAAGGGGGGAATGTGTCCTGCCGGCAGGACATGCTCGAGTTGTGTGGCACAACAATGGACGAGGCTGTGGCCTCCTGGCAATCGCCGGATGTGGCCAGTCATAGACCCCCGCTTTTCGCTGGGAATGTCACCAGTTGTGGCAGGTTGCCGATAAGCTATTTATTTGCAACTGCATTGCCACACTGCCACATTGCCAGCCACACTGCTGCTGCAGCAGCCTTTAATTAAAATTATATAAAAATATAAACTGACATTTATTTTCATGTTTCTGCAGCCTGACATTGCGCTGCATTGTGTGCCGAGGCAGGCCTTGTTCATGGCCTTGAGTGTGCTGGCCAATTATAGATACTCGTGCTACAGTTGAAACTGAACAACTTGCAACACCAGCTGGGACTGAACGAAAATGTTTAGGGCTAGATATTTTAAAGTTGCATGAATGATTTTATTTTAAGTATGTGTACAATCAGAAATATCAAAGTTTATAGTGAATTATCAGGCCATGTTTCCCTGGTACTGTCTTTTTTGTTCAACGAAATAGTCGTTTTAATTATTGTTTTAAACTTGTTCGTCAATTTTTTCATTTTATTGATAATACTTGGAGAACTTAAATTTACCTTAGCAAATCAATTTACACTTATATATATATATTTGATGATAAGAAATTGTTAGACATTTATGTGGATTTCGCTATGCATTGACTCTCAGTTTCGAGTGAATAGGTTTATATATACATATATGAAGAAAAAAATAACTTTGTCCAAAATATTGCAAAACAAAATTATCTAGATTTATTTTAGAGATAAAAGATATTTAAAAAAATATATAAAAAAGATATTTTAAAAAATTAAAAAAAAAAACAAAAAATTAAAAAAAAAAAAAAAATTAAAAAAATAAAATAATTTAAAAAAGTATATATTTATAAAAATATTAAAAAAAATTAAAAAGAAATATATGTTTTTAATGCAGTTGATTTTTCTGGCAAAGCATTGAACCCATTATATAGACTGGTAACCAATATTAAACTAAACAAAATTCTGAGTTAGTTAAGTACAACTGTCTTAGCCATGTTGCATCACGATCCTTGGCCAGCTGCTCGTGCTCTTTGAACTTTAGAGGGCCTAAAAGCTTTTGCAGCAAAAACAGCCGCAGCCGCACACATCCGTCAATCCGTCAAGCAAAACACTCAAAATTGGATCCCGCCAGTTGCAGACAAATGGACGCAGCAAGGCGCTTTTCTTTCTCCTTTTACCACCCAGAAAACCCAGAGCCCAGAACTCAGAGCCCTGAGAAAATCCATCCACACTGGGGCAATTGGAAACATATGGCAGCCACACACAAAACACAGCAAAAGATGCTCAGCTGTGCGACACAGTTGGCGGTCATTAGATGAACGGCGGTGACAAACAATTCGTTGACCTTTAACACACACTCGCACTCACTCCCCATATAGAAAATTGGGGCAGTTGGGCCCGTAACATTTGGAAACCCATTTGGAGACGGGAAATTAGAGGAAATGATGGGCGTGCCGTGCACAGTTAGAGAGGAAAAAATAGAAACGCCCGGAATTGTAATCAATTTGTGCAATTATGCAATAAAGGCGCGGTGCCCTTCAAAGAAACGGAAAATGCCCCAGAAATGTATTTAATTTGTTTATCATATTTCAGCGCTGTCCAAAAATAGCTCCACAATCGGGAACAATGCGGTAGCAATTCTTTTTTTCCTCGCTTTATAGCGCTTATAAATTTCACCAACCAGACAAGATCAATGAAGAAGAACTGTGCCAAAAAGTAAAAAAAGAGCAACTCAGACCATCGAAAATAAAACAAACCAAGCGAAACGTCAGCAAACAACGACGACATCGCCAAGGGGGCGTGGTTGGGGAAGAAAAGCGAGGGGAGTCTGGGAAAAACACATATGAAAATTCTTTTGAACGAAGAAAAATTTTAAGAGCACGCTGCTCTGACGCCTGTGTTAAATGAGAAATGATTTGTCAGTATATCAGTCCATCAAGGCGACCCAGACGGAAAAGTGGGTGGTATAGGTATAGGCATATGCGATCGAGGTCACATCACACATCCATCCACCATACTGCATCTTCCCCAATGCGAACTGCACTTAATGAAGACGATGTCGAGGATGCATATTTCACAAGCTGCAAAGTGGAGAGCGGAACAAAAAGGAAAATTGAGGAGGGGATGGGGATGGGGAAAAACCCCATCCAGGGCTTTTCAATTCGCCTTGCATCATCATTGGGAAAAAGTGGAATCCCGATTCAATGGCTCGATGGTTACGTTTTAATCCCCAGCACTCGGCATCCGTTATGAGTTGCCATGGCACGTTGCCATTTCGCTTATTGCACCCGCATCCAAAATGATGAAAAGGTTTCAGGACCGCTGCTGGGGCAAGTCCTTGCTGTCATCATCATCGCCATCCTGACAACCCGACGTCCCTGCAATTTTACGGCTGCCATTGTTGAGAGCAAATCCCTAAGCGCCAACAGGGAAAATGGCTTTCCGCCACCACATTGCTCGTTCAACCTGAGCGTCTTCTTTAGTGGCAGCAACAAGGTTGAAGCTATAGCTCGTATTCCTGTGCTGCCCTTTCAGCCATTAAATAGTCCCAATTGGCTAGTTTAGGGTGTCATTTTGAAATTATTATGCCTTAAAACCAAGAAAAATGGCAGTCCTATCAGTTAAGAAACCAAATTTCCATTTTAAAAAATGGTTAACGTTACAAAGCTCTAAGATTTTAATCAATTTAACTTAAAGAAAGAGTCTAAAGAACAAGAAAATAGCAATACAATTTAAAACCAGTTATAAAAATATTAGATATCCATTTGATATTCCCATAGTAAATATATTCGTATCATTTTGAGGTATGAGTAATGTTAAATTGAAAGTGAGAAGTGGTGATTTTTTTGATTTCCTCTCTCCGAAAATTCTCTCACATCGAAAAACAGAGAGAGTTCGCGATCAAAACAACTCTGGGTAAGAGCGAGAAGCAATGTTTCAAACTCTCCGAAACAGAGAAAGGGATAAAAGAAACAAAATGACAACTCATTTATTTTAAATAATAAAAATAATATTTTAATTTATTTTTTAGCTACTACCTATATATTTTTTTAGAAGGCTTTTCCAAGCTAAACCTTTGTAATACCTAGTTTGCAACACTGACGGCACCCCGGGATGCTTGCCACATCGGCTGCAGAAGCTGAATTGCACTGAGCTAAGCTCGGCTGAGACGGGATGAAAAGAAAGGCTGCTGCCCAGATTGTGATAAGTAAATGACTCTTAATTGTGGCGAACGAAAGATGCGACTATAATGATGATGATGACAGCGCTGATTAAAGCGCAACAGGTGCTTTAAGAGTGCATTAAAACCGAATTAACGAGCGCATATGAAGTGTATTTGACTAAGCCTTTTAATTCAGATTCAATTAGCAGGCAAACAAAGAGCCTCAGGCCATTTTGCAGTGGGTGGTTGGCAGGCTGGGTAGATTTAATGACTGTTTCACGCTCGTTAGGCAGGCAACAGGTTTAGGAAAAGCCCCTGACAAGACGAACACAGATGCGTCCGCCCGAAAAACAGTCACTTCCCAGCCGAGTACACATCTGCAATTGACATTTTAAGCCTCCTCCAAAGAGGGTTTGCCTTTCCCAAAGACAAGTAATCAATTTTCCGGGTCTTCTCATTTAATCAAAATCCAGCCATAACCTTTGCCCACCTGCGCCACTCAGTAAATTTCATTTCAATTAACTAATTGATGGTTTAATCGCTGCAATAAGTGCATGATAATCCCTTTGTTGAACACCTTTAGTTAATCTTCATATGCAGGCCAGATAAATCCGTAAATGTAATGCATTAAAATCCCATTTGTTAAGCAAGTAGAGATAAGCTTTATTGGTTTTGGCCACTATTAAAGCATTTTGACCAAGCTGCCCATTAACTAATTGCCAGATTAATCCATGCACAAAAAAGCTTTATGGCTTTGGCAAACATCAAAATGCATTTCTGAAAAGTCGAAACAATTTTCACACGCGCTGCCGATTTGTTTGCCACATTTATGTTTGTTGTTTTATTCTTTTGGCCAACTCAATTCCGTCGGCCGATCGCTGTTGCCAAGTCGAGAGGATTCACTTTTGATTTGTTGTTTG